GGACAAGGGATGGCAGGATGCCACCTGAGAGCTGGAATGCTGTGTTGCACATTTTCTGAAAATAAAACTATTTTAAAAATTTTAAATATTAATACTAAGTGTTCATGGTTAGGATCTAGTCTCTTAATTTTTATGAACGACTTTTGGAATGAGATTTCAGACCTAAATCGTTTTTGAAAAGCAACTTTATTCCCAAATCTATGTTGCATTTGGCTACCAAAAGTTGAACAGAAGCATTTTAAAGCAATATAATGGAGAGGCTTTTGCCTGTAAAAGTGGATTGATGTTAGAGTAGGCTCTAAAAACTAAATTATTTGCTTTCATAGCTTCCCCCATTTGGAGAGCTAGCCTTAATAGTTTGTCTCTACCCCATTATATTTGCTGACATGCCAGTATCACCAGACCTTATTCTTTGTTGGCAGTGCCCTGCTCCATTATAAAACTGTAATTTGATAGGTTTTGGTAGACCAGTGTGATTCAGTACACCAAATAATGGATCTGAGTCTCATTTCTTCTGTTTCAGAGAACTTTTTGCCTAAGCAATCCTGTTGTGCTCATTCAACAGGTCAAACCGCCACAGGACCCACTGTGCAGCCTGGAGGGCTGCTAAGTCCCATTTTCAGATACTGTGGAGGGCCACGTGGTGCATTTGTGACTTCTTTTTTGGATGACTGATAGTAATGGTGCATCTGTTCTAGTAGCCTTTCAGTGTGGTTTTACTGCTGGGGGGAAATGGTGTTTCATGGTGGAGACCTTCTCTCTCCTAAACAGCATTTATAACATTGAAAAGAGCTTTTAAATACTCATTTAATGTGTTTCATGGATTTCTTTTTGTAAGTGTGTGGCTTGGTGGAGGTCCCATAGTGCTCCGAATTGGACAAAAATACACACAAAGGGTAGGATGCAATGTGGGCTTCACAATTCCCATCTCAGAAAGAGTATAGGGGAAATTACATTGTAGAACTACAACTACCAGCATCTATCATCTTTAGCTATGTTGACAAGATGTGATTGGAATTACAGTTCAGCAACATCTGGAGGTACATATGTTCTTATTCCTACTGTAGAGAATGGGGCATATGCCACTTGATTGTGAAGAACTCTGAGGTCTCAGAATGCTTTAAAATGCCACAAGACCAAAGGGCAAGAATTGGTTGAGATATTGCTGAACTGCAACTCCAACTGTTACTTCCAACATTGGGTTAACATAGCCAATAGCAGTGGTTTTAGGAGTTAAAGGCCACAATGGTCAATCCCCAAAATAAAAGGTTGCCTTTGAAACAGAGAATTGTTCCTTGTGAAGTGTATTGGGTTCAATCCGAAAAGTGGGATATAAACTGACTGACTCACTAGATACATGGCTACCATAGTTCTTACTATATAATTTGTACTAAATAAACCTTATATCTGGCTATTTTTTCAGGCCTTTAGGAAATGTGTCTTTCTGTCCAGTAGAATAGCTTTGGCATGGGCTGCTGAAATGATGCCATATAGAGAAGCAATATAAAATGTAATATAATTAAAACATAATATAATTAAATCTTAAAGTGCTCAACATCAAAAGGGAAGTAAACTATCAATTTTAAAACTCTAGTTGTCAATCTGGCTGCAGATCTTTGTACCAACTGAAATTTCCAAGCACTCTTTGGAGGCACCCACACATAGACAACATGACAGTATTCCAAACAGGATGTAACTAAAGCATATGTGACTGTGGTCAGATCAGATGTCTGTGGAAGTATTTGGTGCACAAGTTTTAAGTTACAAAATCAACCCAGGATAGAAACCTGGGTCTCCAGGCTCAAAGCGGAGTGAAGGAATATGCCCCAAATGCTTACCTGTGACTCTAGGGGGAATGCAACCCAATAGGCATAGGCTAAATTATATATCTTTTGACTCACCAGAATCAATACTGTTTTCAGAGACTTTCCTCTGAATATAGTGTATTTACATCTGGATTCAATAGTGGTTGGACTGGATGGCCCATGAGGTTTCTTCCAACTCTTATGATTCTATGAATCTGCTCCATTTGTGATGAAACTATAAGGAGCTAGCCAAGGTGCTGAACTCTTTTAATGTTCAGACTACACTACTTTAGGCTGAGTTGCTTTATATCTTCATGCCTTTAAAGTTCCAACTTAAACATAGAGTGAATTCATCACCTCACTGGCATTGAAGGCATCAGCTACTGCTGTGTAGATCAGACACAGTAGTTGGATAATGCCACCAGCCAAGAGTAAGATGTTGTATACGTGTGTGTATTGTATTCTCAGCAGGTTATAACTCAGCCCAATTAATTTCCATGGGGAATTAATGAATGTTATCTTCACTGAAATTAATAAATGTTAGTGGAAGCTCCTTATTTGGAGGTTTTTAAACACAGGTAGGAAGGCCTTCTGTTGGGGGTGCTTTGATTGTGCTTTTCTTGCATGGCAGGGGGTTGGACTAGATAGCCCATGTGGTCTCTTCCAACTTTATTATTCTAGGATTTCATTATTCCCTTTGTTTATCTTGCCTTATTAAAGTAGAAAAATAGTTGTATCAATCATTTTTAACTAAATGGGTATGTGTGCCAGCTGTTATTTAAAGTTTCTAATGTATTACAGAATTAGAATATGGAAGAATTTCTGAATGCAGGAGGCATGTTCAGAAGTGAATTGTTTTCTTTTTGATCTACAGAATTATATGCTGCTTTGTCTTTGATACAATGTGTGATGGTTGAAATAATTGGGACTTCATTCCTAGTATTCATTTTGAGATAAGAGCACACAGCTGAAATATAAGATTTAAATTTATGATAGCAGTGGGTAGCAGTTCTTGCTCATTACAGATTGAAAAATCCAGTAATTCAGCCAGGTGCTGTGATAATCTTTTGTGTCACCAGAGTAAAACAATGAAACTCCAAATCGGTCAGACTGCAATGCACCACTTCTCAGGCTTTGCCCTTAGGGTAGATTTGCCACCCCATTAAAGCTTGGCAGCATTTCTTTTGTGCACTACAACTCACAGAATCTTAGCTAGCCATGTTTCTTGTGGAATTCCTGGAGTTATAGTCCAAGTGGCTTTTAATATATCTATTCTTGCACTAAAGAGGACACAAAGGACAAAAATGCCTCATGGGAAATGAGGCCTTTTGTGTGGGAGTGCTACAACTCTTGCTCTTTCATGTTGGTCCTATGAGGTTATTTACTATAGAAAGCCCACACAGCTTGTTAAGAAAATTAAAGTACTAAGCAATGATAAAAAGGGGTCTGCTGAGGGGCTACAAATGCCAAAATCATTGCAGAGTGGATGATGACAACATTCCTCAAAACTGTTGACTTTAGGATCCCAAAGTAACCATTATTTCAGGATTCCTAAATCCTTGGAAACATTTTGTCTCCAAATGGGCTGATAAATGTGGCCTGCCTTCAACAAGAGCCATATGTTTGAAATAAGGCTTTGATTATGTCATCTTTTAATAATTGATGGTGGGACCTAGTCAAACTCTGCTTTGTTTCTTGCTTACTCACTGCTTTTTAGATCTTCATCTCAGTAGCTTCTGAGTAGCTGACAACTTTGCCAATGTTCTGACATGGCATTCCAAGTTTCTGTCTTTTGTCCTGGTTGGTTGCTGCTCCCGATGGGGCACTGAGCCTAACCCACACACCCTCTATAACATGTATTTCTGCACAACTGTGTTATTCTAGCTGCCAAGTCCCAAGCTGTCTCATATAACATCTTCATTGTTTGATTACATATAGGCAACATGTGGCTAGAAGTTGTGGTTTCATTGACCACACATCCAAATGTCTGCCTTATCCACAAAATGGACACCCCCCCCCCCCAATTTTACACCAAGCGTGAAAAAGAGGTGTCCCCATGGTTATGTGAAATCTCTCCATATGAAATAATCTTGACTAGGTTAACCTGACCTTGGCATAGAGTGGCTGCCCGGATTAGTGGGACCATGGTATTATGCAAGCTTTTGTTTAAATATATATTCAACATCTTTTTACATCACTCTCTATTAGAAAATAAAAATCATATAAGCTCTAACAACATTACAAATATGGTGGCTCTTGGGTTCTGAAGAGAACAAAATTCTCTGCTCCCAAAGGAAGGATTATGTCTCTCCATCCTTCTCCTGATCTTGGCATTTTAAATATATACTAGACTTTGGTATAAATACCCTAAATTGCTTTTATTTCTGCTTTATTTTTCTGAATCTTTGCTTGTATATATATGTGTACATACACATCCCTTTATTATCCAGACACAAATGGAGATGCATGAAGCTTTGTGGAACATAGTCCTCTGTAATTCTCCATAACTTAATACCAATATTTTTAAATATGTGTGTATAATTCCATTATAAATGGCATCCACATGTGACTCAGAAGAGACTAGGACTTGCTTGTGATCAACTTTACTTTAGCTGATAATTTTGTTTACTCACTTCCCAATTCCTCTACCTTTGACAGAAGTTTCTTCTGAATGCATTATCAGTGCACAATATTTATATGAAGGACACTAAAGTCACGATAACACTGATTAGAAGAACAACTCTGCTGGCAAATTGCTACATTTTTGGCATCTTTCATGCATTGTAAAATATAGATATCTTTGGGTTGGATCCAGTCGACCCATGAATAGAATGCTGCATGTAGGTTCTGTGTCATAAGAAAAAGCAACAAGCCAAAGCTGCCAAATTATTTTACCCTCTTCACTCCCAATTAGCACCTGAAAAGCTATTCCAGAAGATGGGAGAGAGATCTTCTCGAAAAGAACATTAGGTTGCACCAGAGCTTTGGAAAAAAAAAGTGTGTGTGTCTTTAACTGCAACCTTCAGAATCTCATAGCCTATTGGCTATCCCTAAGGCATTCTGGAAATTGTAGTGGTACGTCAAAACTGCATTCAGCCTGTTGTTTCCCTTGTTGGAGAATGTGACATACTGGGATGTGACATACCATAGTTGTCATTTATGGATGACATTTTGCCTTTGCTTTTTCCACAATAGATTTATGCCTACATCTTTGAAAACATCAAATCCATTCAGCTGGAAGCCCTTCTGCTGTCGGTGCTGAGCATTGCAGTCCTTGTTCTCGTGAAAGAGTTGAATGAGAAGTTTAAAAATAAAATTAAAGTGGTTCTTCCTATTGATTTGGTTTGGGTAAGTAAATTCAAAATTAAGGTTTGTTATGCTGCTGGAACTGGTGTTTTCTGCTGATTAACACAGAGCAAATCTATGTGGTTTAGATAAATGCAGGTACTACTGTTTATTAGTTCCCATCAGAAACCTGTGCCTGAAATGTTAGAAGTTGGGGCATGACAAATCAAGAGTTATCAGTACTGTGTTATTCAGGTCAGCATTAATTACAATGACAATGATGAACTTTAGGCTGTTATTCTCCCCCCCCCCTAAAACTAGGACTCAAAGTAATCATTTATTATTATTTTTTTCTAGTTAATTTCTCTTGTTGCTTGATCAATAGATAATTGCTTCTTCTGTTGCCTCCTATTCTGCTGATTTGAAAAGCAATTATGGCTTGAAGGTTGTTGGACATATTCCAGAAGGGTAAGGTATTTTATATGTGTATTAAAAGGTATAAGTCTTTGCATATTTCATTCTTGCATGAAAGAATAAGTAATGTTAAATGTTTTCTTCCTGTCACATGGATCATTGGGTTGCTGTGAGTTTTCCAGGCTGTATGGCCATGTTCCAGAGGCATTCTCTCCTGATGTTTCACCCACATCTATGGCAGGCATCCTCAGAGGTTGAGGGGTCTGTTGGAAACTTGGAAAATGGGGTTTATATATCTGTGGAATGTCCTGGGTGAGAGAAAGAACTCTTGCCTGCTTGAGGCAGGTGTGTATGTTGCAGTAGTTAGCTACCTTGATTAGCATTTAATGACCTTGCAGCTTCAATGCCTGTCTGGTTGCTGCCTGGGGAAATCTTTTGTTAGATCACTTGAGTTTTCATGCATTTCTGAATATATTTTTCTTTAAAATTCTACCAAGTGACTTAATACCTGATTACAGATTATTGTAATGATTGTTTCTTGTGTAAAATATTATTTTGCAAAAGAAAAAAAACCCTTCTTGAGATTTAACTATCTCACAGTGATTGATTGATGTGCAGAGATACCCTTTTAAATCAGGAATAGGGAAAATTGAGAGTATCCTTTACACTCCTAAGTTATATGTGTCTTTCGTATGAGTTATATTTTGCTGCTGATTTTAACAGATTTCCTAACAATTTATTTATTTATTTATTATAGTTATTACATTATTTATATACTGCTTTTTTCTTTTAGAAACCCAGTGGTAAAAATGATACAATACAATGTAAAACCTAAAGATTATAAACATTAAAATAGAATTAAACTTAAAACTATCTAAAACAAATAGCTATACATTATTAAAACCATTAAAATAGTTTAAAATACATTTCTGCTCAAAGGTTCCATAGAGATTTGAAGTGTTCCGATATAAACAAGCCCTCTGCAAGCCCATGACTTCCAAATGGGTTGAGCTACAACTCTTATTATTTCCAGGCAGCACTGCTCATAATTGTCCAATGCCAGTGGTTTTCAACTTGTGGGTTCCCAGATGTTTTGGCCTCCAACTCCCAGAAATCCTAACAGCTGGTAAACTGGCTGGGATTTCTGGGAGTTGTAGGCCAAAACACTTGGGGACCCATAGGTTGAGAACCACTGATCCAACCCATTTTGAGAACAGTAGTTTGGGAAAGGCTGGTGTGGCAAATTATTCTCAAATCATAACTCTTTGCCCCAAACTGTAGATGTTACTCAGGATCAAAAAGAATTACTTGTGGTATGTCTAAACAAGGGCTTTGATATGTAGAGTAAAATTTTAAAGAATTTAGATAACAGTACAGCAGATCACTGTTCCATATTGCAAGTTGCTTTTGAAGGTCTCTTCCGTTTCATAAGCCATTTTTTATATGTCTGTTTGGAAAACAAATACAAACCCGCCTTTGGTGTGTGGAATGAGTTGCACATTTATCTGTACTTCGTTCAGTGGAAAAAAAAAGCCACGTTATTCTCTAGGCATGTCACGTAACCAAGTAGTTTCTAAGCAATTAATGATACCAGATATCAAGTCTCAACTCAACTGAGGACTGGAACAATAAAAAAGAAAAGAAATGCAAATATTCATGAAGCACTTTTCTTAGGAGCCAGACATCAAGTGAAAAGATTAGTGAGTAAATAGGGCTCTGAAGGTAACACAAGGTTCTGAGTATGATCTGTAAAAGTATAGTTTACATCCAGTTCAGCCATTCATTCTAACAATCAAGCATTGAACTCTTTGGTCTCATCCACACTGCACAGTTATAGCACTTTGATTTCAACTAACTCCCATGGCTTAATCCTATGAAATTCTGAAAGTTATAGTTTGGTGAGGCACTAGAGTGTTATGACAGAAAAGAGTGAATACCCCATGAAGGTACAAACGCATCAATTCCGTAGGAAGTTGCCCTGACAGATAAACTTGGATCAAATGCTATAGTATATAAAGGGCTGCAGTGGCACAACGGGTTAAACCCTTGTGCTGCTGAACTGCTGACCTGAAGGTGATAGTTTGAATCTGTGGGACAGGGTGAGCTCCTGCTGTTAGCCCTAGCTCCTGTCAAATTAGCAGTTTGAAAACGTGTAAATGATAATGATGTTGGTTTTTATTGTTCCTATTGTGGTTTTATATTGTTTTAATGCTTAATCTGTATTTTGCTATTGTGTGTTCTAAGTTGTTGTAAACTGCCTTGAGTTGCCAATAGGCTGAGAAAGGCGGTATACAAGTATAGTAAATAAATAAATACAAATAAATAAATAAACGTGAGTAGATAAATAAGTACTGCTTCGGTGGGAAAAGGCAAAAGGTGCTCCAAGCAATCTTGCCAGTCACATGACCAGGAGGTAACAATGCAGGGTCCTTGGCTTGAAAATGGAGAAAAATACCTCCCCTAGAGCCATTGCTGAGCATCGCCCTCAGAAGTCAGAAATGAAAAAGGAGAATCCTTTGCCTTGTCTGTGTCTTATTGTACGTGACTGTAAGGCACTGAAGGTTTGCCTATGTCTGCCGTAAAATGCTGTAATCTGCTCTGAGTCCCCTACAGGAGAAAGGTGGAATATAAATAAAGTATAATAATAATAATAATAATAATAATAATAATAATAATAATTATTATTATGATTATTATTATTATTTTTGACACAAAAACACAGTAGGTCACAGCAAATAAGATATATATGCTGGATTTCGTATCACAAAATCACAAGTCCAACACTTCCCAAGCATCTAGGACTGTGTTGTTGTTGTTGTTGTTGTTGTTATTATTATTATTATTATTATTATTATTATTATTATTATTATTATTATAGTTGTGTTCAGTTAAAAAGACCTATGTCACAGCCACTGCTAACACCTAGAGAAATTAATGTATAAAAATTCTCATATTTTTGCCCTAGATTGAAAACAAAAGTAGCAAAGATTTATAATCTCGTCCTTCAAACCATGTGGCACATTGCACAGAAATATTACCTTACATTGTATGGAAATAATTACTGTGTGTGTCATGCATGCGGGAATGCAGGGTATTAAACAGACAAACAAACAAACAATTAAATCAAATTTATAATGCATCACATGACCATGCTAGCTAGGGATTTGTTTCCAAAAATGTAGGTATTCCAGGCATAGGCTTTGTTACAGAACCATAATGCAGTAAATTCTTGATCTCATGAATATGACTGCTCTGCTCAAAAACTTGCATGAGATTTAAAAATCGGTCCTTAAGGTGCTCCAAAACCTTTCATTGTTTATAATACTATGAATGTGATCCAAGCAGGATTGGCCCCTAGATGTTCCTTATATGGAGTTTACTTCCTTGTAAATCAGTATAGCTTTTCAGCCAATATATCACTTTTGTTGTTGCGTGCCTCCAAGTCATATCTGTTTTATTGTGACCCTAAGGTGAACCTATCATAGAGTTTTCTTGGCAAGATTTGTTCAAAGAAGGTCATGTAAATATGCATATGTTCTCTCCTAGTGACCATGCAAAAGGGATAGTTTGTAGGGGTATAGATTATTCACAAGCGAATTGTCAGTCCCAGTCCTTCTTTTTCATATCGCCAGGATTTTGACTATCTGATGAGAATGATAGTTATTGGGAATAAGGGAATATTTGATATTGTAAGAGCAATATTGAGATTTTCTCTAAGCCTTAGAGTTTCAGGCAAAAATCTCCAAGATGTATTGCAATTATTTTGGTATACTAGTGCAGATTTATTCAGTAAAAGCAGGTAAGATGGCACATTTTTATATTTGGCAGACATAGCCCTGAAAAATGTAAATATTGCCAGAAATTATCCTTCTTAAACTTAAGTTTAAAGTCACCACCAGGGACTCCAAAAAAAGTGTGATGATCCATTTCCTTAAAACAAGATCTACTGTGGCTTTTGCATTTTCAATTCTAGCACTGGAAGTGCTTTGTAAAGTTAAGATAGTAAACCTTTGCCGCTTGGGCACAGTTGCCTTCTTATTCTAACTCGTAACATCCTCCGCCACATAGGACTGTACTTATTTTTACAGCATACCACCTCCGCAGCCTCCACCCATGAACATCCTCCCTGAAGTAGTTACAGAAGCATTTGGTGTTGCACTAGTCGGCTATGTTGCATCGCTAGCACTTGCCCGCTCTTCAGCCAAAAAGTTCAACTACTCTGTGGATGATAACCAGGTAAAGGTTTTTGCTCATTGTTTCTGCTGCTACCAATTTTTTTTTAAAAAAAATGTCTATCAGTTACATTTATATCCCACTTTTCTTCAAATGAGCTCAAGGCAAGATGAATGGCACCTTCTCTGCCTCAGTTTAGCCTCGTACTTAGAATATGCTTGCACAATAGCTTGCTATCTGAGAAGTTGCAATCCTTCCACGGTTTTATGGAAGCAGTGAAAGTAGGCAGAGAAAGTTATTACACAATAGTGAGGACCAAGCTGCTGGAACCAAGCAACCCGTTTCTTCAGGTTCTGCCTTCTACACAGAGCACTTGGAGTCAGGTGGTTCAGAGTGTTTGGCTGGATCAATTGCACATTGAAGCCAGCCTTTTCAGAGTATTCAGGCTCAAGGATTCCCCTTTCAGAGTACTTATGTTTCATTACAAGGTAATTAGCAGCCTTCCCTTTCCAATTGGACTGCATGGCTTCAAAGGTCTCTTCCAACTCTAACTGCAAGTTTGTCTACCTTCGTTAGCTGATCCCTTTTCCCACTGGCTTTCCCCCATTCTGCCACTGCCACAACACCAGCAATGCCAGCATAATAACTAAATAAGATTTCAACTCCACATACTCAGGTCTCTAAGTTCTCAGGCTGTAGGAGACTGAATCAGTGATTTTCTTGGCTTTGTAGAACAATCTGGATCACTCAAATCCCAGGTCAACATACTAATCTCACTGCTTATGTCATCATCTTACAATTAGTCTAGGGATGTTAATAAAGATTGATGAAAAAATAGTCCAAAATAATTTAAAGCAGGGGTTCTCAAACTGGGGCTTAATAAACGATAGTGAGGGGCTCCACGGAGCCATGTGGCTTCCTTCCTCCTACTCCTGAGAAATGCAGGGAAATTAAAGTTTGGAGCTGCTGAAAGAACAGCAGCAGCAATCTCCCAGGGCCCTGACTCTTTCTCCCCTGCCTCCCTCGTTGCCAGACTCTTTTTCTCGCTGTCCCCCTTCCATGACCTTCTTTGCTTCCAAAACCCCATTTCCCTCCCATCACTCAGGGGGTGCTTTTATTGTGCTCTTCTTGCATGGCAGAAGGGAGTTGAACTGGATGGCCCCTGGGGTCTTCTACTGAAATACTAATAAGTTTATGTTGGTTAATTTTTTTTCTTTTTGCACTATGAACAAGAAATGTGCAGTGTGCATAGGAATTTGTTCATGTCTCTTTCAATTAGTTCACACAAACACTCTCCATCCATCTGCCACTGGCCTGGCTCGTATGTCAAATTTTAAACAGAATATGACCCCTGTGTCCAAAAGTTTGCCCATGCCTGATATAATATATAAAAATGTATTGGGACTCCATGAGAAACGTTTGCTTCAAAAATGGCTCCGCATCTGAAAAAGTTTGAGAACTTCTGATTTAAAGTCCAACATGTATTTGAGGGTAGTGGCATCAAGAGGATTGCCTCCTCCGGAGAACTTGGATAAGTTTATAAGAAGATATGGTCTTTCAGATAGCCTGGACCTGGGCCATGTAAGGGTCTATAACTCATAACTAGCACTTTGAATTGTTCTTGAAAACATTATATGCTCCATGTAGCCAGTACGCAAAGAGATTTTGTAGCACCTTTGAAATTGAGAGAAAAAAAGTTGGGGCATAAGCTTTTGTAGACTTGTCTTTATGCACATAAAGAAGTAGACATAGTCATTGTGGCCAAAAGCCAGCACTCTTGGGTATGATCTGATTGCTACAAAGCTATAGATCGGACAGCCTATTCTATTCCACTTGTCATCTTCGTCACTTCTGAAAGCTCTATTCTACTTCTTAGAGGCCATAGAGTTAGCCATGTATTCATTGTAAGGAACTCCAAAGGGAGGGTTCTGCAGTATCCTGATGACAGGAAAATACTTTTTTTTGTTTTAAAAAGACATTTAGGAACTGATGGGTTACGGGAAATAGTGCTTTTGATTGTGTACTGCCTTGTCTCTATTTGTTACTGTGTAATGGATCTGTTTTTTATTTTTTTTAAAAAAAATATATTGATAGTTTAATCATATCTTAGATTTTTCATGCTTTCAATAATGTGAACTTCTGTGTATGTTTTCACTTTTGTAATTCCCGGGACTGGGAAAAGACAGGAAATAATTAATAATAAGAAGCGTGGATATGTTATAATATATCACATATTTATGATTTATATTATAATAATATGAGGAAGGCCATAGTAGAATACCTCTGCTTGTCTTGATAGATGAAATTTCAATAAGGTGAACCATTTGCAGATGGAGGCTGAAGCTGACAAAACAATCAGGATAACCCAATGGGATAAATTCATGTATTAGCCCCAACTAGAGTAGGGTAGAGTAATAAGGGCTATTTAGGAGGCCACTAGAAGGAAGAGGAAGTATTTGAAAGAATGATTCGAGGTAATATGGAAAAAATGGATTGAAGTCATTTTTCTCTCCTCTTTTCTGACACTAGACCTTTTTCAGGGTATGCCTAATTCACTTACAATCATTCACTGGTGTATAAAATTGTGATGGCTGTTGAATGATTTGAAAAGAGGATGAGATGAATGAAAGATGGGTCTGTTTATATGTTGGCTCTGTGGTGATCTGTGTCCAGAGGCAGAAATGACAAGAAATCCTGGTTGCTAAAAGGCACCATGGCAGAGGAATAGAGCTAAACCTGAGAAAGACACCAGTTTGTTGCTGTCCATAACTGATAATATTGTAATGACCTCCTGACCTCTAAATAACTTATGTCCAGGGAACCCTGTAGGCCTACTGAATCAATAGCAATTGATTCAGTGGGTTTACTCAAGTTGGGACTGGGCTTTGGATTTAGATTTTGAATTGCAATTTCAAGAATCCTGCAATTTCCTGGCCAGAGAATTCTGGGACATATTGTCTAAAAGTTAACATTTTTTAAGGTCAGAGAAGGCCATGATCTTCAGTTGCTTCAACCCCTGCTTATAGGCTTTATGAAAATCCATACTGCAATAAGAAATATTGGAGCAGATGAGCTTTTGGTTTCATCCAACAAGATTTCCTTAGTTCTTGTCTTTTTTTTTAAACAACTTTCCAGGAATTATTGGCTCATGGCCTCAGCAATGTCATCCCTTCATTTTTCTTTTGCATCCCGAGTGCAGCAGCCATGGGGCGTACTATACTTCTCTACAGCACTGGAGCAAGAACTCAGGTAAGTTATGAAAAACTTATAGGAGATAGGCAGAGTAATAGGAGAAAGACCAAAAGTGAATAAATATAATTATCCCAAGGTGCTTTAAAATAAAATGTCTACTACACACAACAAAGCAAGACATTTTGGTGTCTAAAACTGGGGACAAGATAGTGTTCCCTCACCCACTGGATAGCCAATTGACTCGTACATCAATAGTGGCAATGGAATTGCATTTGTCATCATACCTGAGGTCAGCAGGTATTATGAGAATGGGTTCTTCATCAAAGAGAAGTGAAGAGCTGAACAGGAACAACCAGGGAACTCCTTCTGCTTCCTAGTATCTGCCACCTGAAGCAGGGACCTCACTCTTCTCAATGGTAGGGTGGTCCAGCATTAACAGTCCCACAAATAAAAGATGTATCACAAGTTGTTCTATACTGAATAAAGGTCAGTTTATCCCAGAAATATGCCTATCAAAGAGCTCCTCCAACACTCTTCAACCCCAACTTCCAATAAAGATAGATTAATGAGGAAGTGTAATGTAATGAGTAGATACCCACAAATCTGACCCAAATTAGACTAGTCCATGTTTCCCTATTTTCTGCTTCAAAGCTTTCACAAGCAAGGTGAGATGAAATTAATCATGATACCTAAGCAATACAATGATATGCGGAAAATATGTAAATATGATTCCTCTTTATAATTGTAAAGATAATGCCATTAACTGAATGACATTCAAAAAAATTGGTCCATTGGAATGATGACTGCTGGGTAGTGAAAATCTACTGAAGACACCACAGTATACTGGTTTGAGTGTTGGGTTAGGACTCTTAGAAAGCAGTACTCAAATCTCCACTGGATCACAGAATGTCACTTTCTCTTAGAGAAAGGCAATGGCAAACCCTCTCTGAACAAGTATTACCAAGAAAACTCATAAACGGTTCTGGCCGAGTTTACCTGTTTGAACATATCTCCCCCTATGAACCGTCTCGGAGATTAAGATCATCTGGAGAGACCCTGCTCTCGGTCCCGCTTCCTTCAAAGGCGCAATCGGTAGGAACGAGAGACAGGGCCTTCTCAGTGGTGGACCCTTGGCTGTGGAACTCTCTCCCCAGTGATATTAGATCAGCCCCTTCCCTCCTGGCCTTCAGAAAGAGAGTAAAAATGTGGCTTTGGAGAGTAATACAGTGCAATAGATGGATTTGAAATTATGTGCAATGACCGGAATGGACTGGACTATGATTGCTGATAGCATGGTTTATAATAGTAATTGTAATGTTTTTAAATGTTTTAATGTTTGTTAAACTTGATTTTAATTTTTAATTGGAATATTATTTTAATTGTATACTGTTTTAAGGCATTGAATTATTGCCTATGTTGTAAGCCGCCATTAGTCTCCTTTGGGGTCGAGAAAGGCAGGCTATAAATATAGTAAGTAAGCAAGTAAATAAATAAATAAATTATAAGTAAATCTGAAAACACATAACAACAACGTGAATATCTCCATCCCAATAAAACTGATTGGCTTTGAGTATAGCATTTCCCATGTTCTTAATATTCTGTATTTTCAGTGATACTGCTGAAAGTACTTCTGATACTGCCTCTACACATTAACCATGTCACTATGTTGTACTGGCATGATAAACCTGTCAAACCGACATTTATTTACTTATTTATTTACTTTATTTCTATACCGCGTTTCTCAGCCCTCAGGCGACTCAGGTGACATAGTGAAGAGCAAAATAATAAACATGGCTTTGCTAATGCTGTGTTTCAAGGAGTCAGTCCTTGGAATAAATAATTTTACAAACCGAGATACTGTGTATTGTTACTTGGTACTTTTATATCATTTTGTCCCTATGTCACTATGTGCTGCCTGAGTTCTGGGCTGATTTACTCCCATTCTTCAGATTACACTATTTATTTATTTATTTATTTATTTATTTGGTGCGCTTATATACCGCCAATATCTCAGCCTGTATGGCGACTCATTGCGGTTTACAGCATAATTAAAACTACAATATTACAATTTAATATAAAAATTACACTATAAAATACATACATATACATACATAGTATTGGGCCACCAATACAGTCCAGAACATCTCATTATTAACGTCAACAATCCACTAGAGTTGTTTACATTTGATTTCTAGCCACAGAGGTTTATTTAATTTTGAAGAACATGTCCTTGGACAGAATAATTCCAGAGTTTGAGATGGTAAAGGATGTGAGTCAGTAATAATTCAGCCACTTGCAAAGTTCTTGGTTCCCTATTTGGGGCAAAGTTATCCTAGCTCTTAATTGCATTTCATGCTGCTCAGTATTTTAATTCCCAGATCCTATCTCATGTAGCATCTGGTTCCTTACTGCAATAATGTTTACCATGGATTCAAATGCCAAAAAGAATTTTTTAAAACAAGCAAAATATACTTTTTGAATAACTCCCAAAATTGCACAATTGTTTTGGCATAGGGATTCGGGAAACTGTAGTCCAAAAAAGTAACACATTCAAGATATTCAATTAATTTATGTTTGAACATCATTAACGATAATCGAGGCAGTCATTATTTAACCTTCTCGAATACATAATAGGTGTGAAATGGAAGTCTCAGTGTGTATGTATTAATTTACTCATGAAATTTGGGGTGTTGAAAGCAGTGCAGTCCTCTGCTTGTCTACTCAGAAGCAAACTCCATAGGATTCGGTTGGATTTATTCTCAGACTTCAGTATATGGGATTATGCTCCCAGCAACTGACATTTTTTCTATTGTGTTTCTATTCAGAATAATTGAGAATCATTTTGAACTCCTTAATGGAAAAAGTTGGAGTTTAAGAGTTTAGTGGATTGGTTTTGTCATTTTGGCAATTCTGATCTGCAGTATTGATCTCATTAATATGTTCAATATGTTTCATATGTTTTGGTCAGAGCTTGTTGAGAATACATGTCTGGACAACAACTCTCAAATATCTCTTTTGCCAATATGGCCAGTCTTGATGGGTCCTGGAAGGTGGAAGTACAAAAAAGCATTGTTTCCAAGCTCTGAGTTTGGTAAACTAGTAGAGAAGAACAGCATTCATGGAGCTGGCTTCGTGAAGTAAGATCATCATATCTCAGGAAAAAAATGGGAGCCCATTTTTAATTGGATGCGCTATACTCCCATTGTTAGGAAAACTAGTACCTTTTGATTCTTGATTTAGGATGTTGATATTTTCTTCATCTGGCTGAAGGCAACTCAATCTTCTTTATCTTCCTTAGAAGCTTTAGGTGCTCTTACTGTCTATTACAGTACAGTAAGCTGATTCCTAATCCATCTAAAACACAGATGTGTGCTTTTCACCTTAAGAACAGGCAGGCATCCTGAGCTCAGAATTAGATGGGAAGAAATCCCACTGGAGCATTGCAGCACACCAAAATACTTGGGAATTACCTGGACCATGCTTTGACTTACAAGAAGCACTGCTTGACTACCAAGCAAAAAGTGGCCACTAGAAATAATATCATAAGAATCTGGCTGGTACAACCTGGGGATCACAACCAGGCACAGTGAAAACATCTGCCCCTGTGCTTTGCTACTGTGCTACTGAATACGCATGCCCAGTGTCAAACACATTTCACCACATTCAGACAGTGGATGTGGCTCTTAATGAGACATGTCGCATTATCACAGAATGTCTATACACCACACCACTTGAGAAATTGTACTGTTCAGCTGGTATTGCACCATCTTCTGGGAAGTAGCAGCCAACAATGAAAGGTGCAAGGTAGTGACATCTCCGGCCCATCCTCTGTTCGGATATCAGCCAGCACGCCAACACCTTAAATCAAGAAATAGTTTTCTGAGTTCTACAGAGATCATCTCAGGAATACCTCAGCAAGCAAGAGCCCAAAAGAGGCAGGCTAAAACCTGGAACTTCAAGCCATGGCTGATACTGAATGACAGACTCCCTCCTGGGCTCACAGAAGACTGGGTGACTTGGAAGGCGTTGAACAGGCTGCGCTCTGGCACCACGAGATACAGAGCCAACCTTAAGAAATGGGGATATAAAGTGGAGTCCATAACATGCGAGTTTGAAGAAGAGCAAACCACCGACCACCTACTGCAATGCAACCTGAGCCCTGCCACATGCACAGTGGAGGACCTTCTTGCAGCAATACCAGAGCACTCCAAGTGGCCAGCTTCTGGTCAAAAGAAATTTAGTATAATGCCTAGTTTTTAACTTTGTTTGTGTATTTAAATACATTACAACTGTACCCTTGGTTTGCTTCTGACACGATAAATAAATAAATTTTCTGATTTGTTTTTTCTGTGTCTGTTAGTGAAAAAATGGATCATAAATGAAGGCCAGTCACTGTAGCTGTGTTCACAATAGAGAAGGTCAACTAAAAAGAGCAAAAACAACTATGGCTTTGTGATCCTAGAGGCCAGACAGAGAGACAAAGCATGTTTAAAAAACAAAATAGGACAGCTGACAAACCAAACAGTCCTCTGTCTTGGCAAGGAAGGCTGATCCCTTTACCTTCCACAAGTTGAATCCAGTCATGCTATTCATTCCAGCTATCATAAAACAAACAGAACTAATGAACAAAGGAAGACAAAGGGAGCTGTCCCCATCAAGGAGAGAATTGCTTATACAAAATAACTGAAGTACTTTTTACTGAGCATATTAAAAACCCTGCAAGCCTTGACCAGATTATATTATTATTATTATTATTATTATTATTATTATTATTATTATTATTATATCTGCATCCAGTGACCGGAGTCACACTTCTCCCTTTAAATGGCCCATGGCCAAACTAGCTGAGGAATCTTGCAAGACATAGTTAAAAATTAATTTGCCAAACTCTCATCAAGATATAAGTAAAAACCACATTGGTTATTTTTTATTTGCTATTAATGCAATTTGACATCATTTTAACTGTCATGGCACAATACTATGAAATCATGGGACTTGTAGTTTTATAAGGTCTTTAGCCTTGTCTGCCAAATAGAGCTGATGCTTCACCAAACTACAACTCCAAAGATTCCATACCACTGAGCTATGGCAGTTAAAGTGATGTCAAACTACATTCATTTTTCAGAGTAGTATGAATAAAAGCCTGACAGTTGCTTTGAGAGGGGGATTTGGAGGAGTGGAAAGATGGGAAAGCCACAAGCTTTCTCTGCCTGTCATCCTTCTATTCAATTCCTCATCCAGGAAATGTGACTGATTTTGTGACGTACATTTCCATTTAATATGTAGCCCCACTCCATGTCTCATTGCTTGCAGCTGGGCATACATCTCTTTTGATTGGAATGGTTAGGTAAACGCAAGCTGAAACTGAGCACACATTGTTTAAACTAGCCATACATACGCTATCCCTGAATGTTTTCCAGTTCAGAAGTTGAACTTCAGTGGTTTCTGCCTGTATCTGTGATCAGAAAAGTGAATCTTTGTGTTTGCCTATAATTTTTTGTATATTGTGTCTATTGGTATTTGATCCTGGTATTTCTCCTTTTGGTGGACTAAGAGCAGCCCACCACAGGTCAAATCTTAAATTATCTTCAGATGCTTTCAATCTACACTCCATGTGAGAGCCAAAATCCCCTTTCCTGGCTCCTTGAATTTTTATGTGTCTGCAATGTTTTGTTATGCTCAGCAGTTTTGTCAAACCAAACACTTTAATCTCATTTTAGACATGCTTCAGAATTTGAATAATGTGATTATTTATGCTTTTCCTTTCCAATTGTTTTTTAGGTGGCTTGTCTAATATCTTGCATGTTGGTGCTTGTGGTCATCTATGCAATAGGACCGATGTTGTGTTGGTTACCCATGGTATGGCTTTTTTCTTTTTTAATTAGTTTTTTTTGCTGCGCATATTTTCTTAGACCAAACTGTGCTTTTTGAAAATGACGGCTCCACCTTTCATTATGATTCCATGATTATTAATGTTGCAGAAGGGAGAGAACATACCAAAAATTGTGCCAAGACCAATTTTTTAAATAAAACTCATTTTATTTTGTTTGGACAAGAACAGGATCGCCTGTTTTCTATGGAACTTATTGCAGAAGTTCAGAATCTTTGCACCTAGTATATAATTTTGCAATAGGTTATTGGACTGGGTTGGAGTCAGGGCTTCTAACATCAGAGCTGGGATACAATTTTCTTTTGTTTTTTGTTTTATATGGGGAGCGTTCTACATAAGGAGGGATCATTTGAGAAGCAAAAGCAAGGCTTCTAAAAGGCAGATTGTCTAACACAGTGGCTCCCAACCTTTTTTGACCAGAGACCGCATTGACCAGGGACCACTCTCCAACATTAGTACCAAAAGGCTTACGAATCAGGTTTTGGTCAACTTTAGATTTGGTTTGTTTTTTGGGGTGCACTGGATAGACCACATCAGCTCTAGTTTCTGATACAGAACATATGCCATCCAATAGTCACCATCTGCTTACCCACAGAAAACCATATTTAATAGTCTAGAGCAGATGTGGTGGTAGCAGAAATATTTTGTGGGTAGTCAGCCTCTCCCCTCTTCATGAGACAAGTCACTCTTGTTGCTGCATGGTTTTGAGGCAACAGTGCAGTTATAGTGAGGCCACGGACCATATTTTCATTCTTGCAGACCACTGGGGGTCCACAGAGCACAGGTTGGTAACCACTCATTTACCAGCACTAATGCCATGTCAGATTCCCCCTCCACAGTACAAAAGGCAAACATGCAGCATACTTTGCTTTTGCTTTACTCTGTTACCCTTTTTATAGGACTTAGGAGTTCATCGCTACTATAAAGTGACATTTGATATATGAATATACCTTTGTTAAGTAACAATATAATTTATCAGTTGAACTAGGACTCTGGGATATCAGGTTTCAAATCCTCACTTGACCATGGAAACCCATTTCATGACTCAGCTCCAGAAGAAGGCAATGGAAAGCCTCCTCTGAACAAATATTTCCCAGAATAGTTTGTGATATGTTCACTGGATGGTCACCATAAGTAGAAAATGACTTGAAGGCACACAACATCAATTATCTTTAGTATGGCACTGCCCAAATTGGTGCCTCTCCAAAGTCAGTGTTCTCCCTTAAATACACAAATAACCCCTGAAATACTTTTTGAGACGGGTTTTGGCATGCTCTATCTCCAATGAATAACATGTGCTTAATTCTACAAAGCCTCAATTTTTACAGCTTGTCAGTTGACAGTTTTTTAAACGGCATGGTATTCACCAAAGTGTACTTTCTGTATCCTTAAAATGGAGAAAAGGGGTTGTTCAGAGGAATGTAGAAAAGCAAGAGAAATGGAAGTAAGATCTAATGATTTCCATAAACTATGCTGTGGACTCCAAAAGCCTTGCTCCAATGCCATTTACAATACAACTCTAAATGGAATCAAGTCTCAATAATGGATTGAGTGGAGTTTACTTTAATCAAAGTGTGCATAATACTATTTTATTCAGAGAATATTTGTATCAATGGCTATCAGTGGTGTAAGAACAGAAACAGTAACTCTGATATTCAGGGTTAGTGCACCCTGATGTTCAAAGGCTTGAGTCAAAGAAAGGAAAGTGATTATCTTAATTTTGATCTGTTTTAGAGTTTGCCAGAGCTTGGAAGTCTTTCTTTTTTACTGCAACATGTAGAATTTATCAGGTTGTACTTCGAGAGAGATGAGGGGGGCAAATTCTGAAAGTTGCAGTTATTTTCCAATTTTTAAGCCTTTTCCATTGGTTGCAGAAGGAAGAGTGAAAGACTATGTTTAAGCTGAGGCTAGGAGCCCCAGTGGCGCAGTGGGTTAAACCCTTGTGCTGGCAGGACTGAAGACCAACAGGTTGGAGGTTTGAATTGGGGAGAGCGCAGATGAGCTCCCTCTGTCAGCTCCAGTTCCCCATGTGGGGACATCAAAGAAGCCTCCCACAAGGATGGTAAAACATCAAAAAACATCCAGGCATCCCCTGGGCAATGGCGTTGCAGACAGCCAATTCTCTCACATCAGAAGCAACTTGTAATTTCTAAACTCACTCCTGACACACACACACACAACAAAAACCTGAAGCTGGTGCTATATGCTACTGCTGGTTTGTTTCTTTCCGTATTACAGACAGTATAGATATACTTTTCTTGTCTTGAGAAGATGTTGCTTTAGCTGTCATGACATTAATGGCTTACATTGCCAGAAACAGCCTTTTGTTTGATGTTGTTTATATCTCATTTTTACCACTATGATGTCCAATGTGATGTACAACAAGGTGAAAACAAGGTAGAGCCAAAAAACTGGTGGTAAAAAAGTTACGATATAATTAAACAAGCTGTTGAATTAAAACATCATTGTATTGTCGAAGGCTTAAACATCATTAATCTAAGGCTAAAACATCATTAATCTAGAAAATATAGAGTTCTTTAAAATAGTAAAAAAATATCAGCATATACTCCATAAACATACTATTCTGCAAAAAGAATCACTAATTAACTAACAAGAAGTCTTTTCTTGCTGGTAGAAGGGGAATAGAAAGCTTGGCTTCTCGTGAAAGGCAATTCTATAGCTTAAGAGCAGAAAGTGACAAACTTCTCCTGCATATTCTTACCCAACATATTAGTGACAAGTGTGCATCCAAGATGCACATCCAAGTGTGCATCTTAACCTTCCTTTAAGAAGGTTAAGAACCCAAGTGGGCACATTGCCATATTGGCTGCAGTATTGACTGGTGATTCCCATGTCATTGGAGCAGTGAATCTCCTCCACATTAATCTGGATGTTGAAGGAGCTCTCCAAGGTGCTAAAACAATTTTGTGGAGAGAGTTCCCCTGAAGTGAGAGGTAGATCGGGGCATATGGCGGCTGCTGGTTAAGTATACTACACTCCTTTATCTGAGTACTTGATATCCACTTGAGATCCTCCTGGAAGTGCTTGTGGGCCTCTCTCTATACTCCAGTGCTATTTCTCTGGCATGCTTCTGGCTCAACTAAAGTAAAAATATAGGGGTTACTAGTACCTGTAGTTTCAGGTTGCCACAAAGGGGATCTTGAAATGTATCTCATGAGTTCAAAAAATTCTGGTTTCATAAGTGTTTCCCTAGACTTTTTTTTTGAGGCAGGGCGGCATTACATATGCATTAATATACAGAAACAGAGCTGCTTTGTTGGACTACAACTTCTAGAATTGTCTAGCCGGCATGATTCTGCCAGCTTGGTTTCTGTGAATTGTACCATTATTCTAAGCTCTGGGTGTCTCAATTCCCCCAAAGGTTTAGCTTTGTAAATGCAGGAGGCTATTCAGATTGAAAAAATAATGGCAGGATCGTGTAACTGGGTATTTTTGTCTAATGTTTAGTTAATGTTTAATGCTCACAACGAATAGCTGCTTGTATGCAACTTTATGTAGAAGGAAGCCCTGTTGTTTTCAGTCTGATTTAACTACATGCTCCTTTACTTGGGTGAAAGTTGCCTTCAATTTAGTGGTTTTCCTTTTGAATAAATATTTTATTGAGAACATTGATATCCTGCCTAATAATTATGTTAATAAAGCATTAAAATATAGTTAGAGTCACTGAACCGTGAAAACAGAGGGCAATTTCTGGCTTAAAATCTTGGAACAAAATTTTAGCACTTCAAAGAAATCGAATACATAAAGAAATACAAAGGGCCAAACAGCAGAAAGAAATATACCTTGTCACTATATATGTAACTGATATTTATGTATAAGTATCTGAATTTTAACCATTGTTAAGTATGGTGAGCCTGCCTACAATCAGTATTTTGTAAGAATCATGAGAAACATAATATTTTTGAAGGTAACATTTTTTTACGTTTTATTATTATTTACAATGGGTTAATGGGTCAGTGTGTATTTAAAACCATTTTATTAGATTTTATTACAATAACAAAATGGAACTACAAAAACATACATACACAACTGTCATAGATACAAATGAAGAATACATATACATAGATACAAATTAAAGATTTCATTGCACATTTGGACGCAATTTCTGGCAGCGAATAGATTCCATACCTATGTGATTGTGAAAATAATAGCTGAGTTCTCAATCTGACCATAATTTACACAAGGTCAAAGGCCTGTCTAAAGAGCCATGCTTTTAAACTAGCATGAAAGGCTTAGAGAGTGGGAGCTAACCTAATCTCTCTAGGGAGCGTATTCCAAAGCCAGGGGGCCACCACTGAGAAGGCCCTTTCTCTGGTACCCACCAACCGTAGTTGAGATGGTGGTGGGACCCAGAGAAGGGCATCCGTAACAGATCTCAGAGCCCGTGTCGGGTCATAGAAGGAGATGCAGTCTCGAAAAAGATAGGTTGGGCCTGATGCATATTGGGCTTTATAGGTGATAACATGCACTTTTTATTGGGTCCAGAAAGTTACCAGGTGCCAGTGGAGCTGCTTTAATAGGGGTGTGGCGTGCTCCCTATAGCTAGCCCCAGTTAGCAATCTATTATTACTTATTATCTGGTATAATCAAAATGTTGTTCAAATTTATCCTTGTACTTGTCATCAACATGTCATATTCATTATCCTGGCCTCTGTGATACGGTCTGCAAAAGTCACATATGTAGTTCTTCTGGATTTTTTGCATTATTCATATTTAGGGATATTAATATCTGTAACAGAGAAGTGTCTGCAGGCGGCCTGGAAACCTGCCATGTCTTTTGCCAAAATATTTTCTCCTACACATTTGGAGAAAATAGCTGAGCTCACCTTCTAACAAATGCTTCTTTCATTGCAGTGTGTTCTTGCAAGTATCATTGTAGTGGGGCTGAAGGGGATGCTGATGCAGTTCCGTGACTTAAAGAAGTATTGGAATGTGGATAAAATAGACTGGGTAAGTAAGATTCAACTTGAGAGTTTTCGTCCAAGTGTCCTTTGGTTCATGAAATAATTTCCCTTGTGCTACCTGAAAAATCACACTTCTTTTTACCACCTGAATCAATAGTAGAATCCATTATTCCCCCCCCCTTTTTTTTTTTTTTGCTTCGGGAACATTTCAGACACAGATTGTTGAAGAAAAATCTGTTTTTGTATTCTGACTATGAAAAGTAGGTTAATTTTCTCCAGAATCCAAAATATTAGGAGGATGTGAGATCACTCAAGGAAGACAGACCAGCTTAGGTCTGGATTGATCTGAAATGACTAGTTTTATAGATTCAAAAGACCAGTCTATCCTCCTAACTCCCCAAATGTATGAGAAGGTATCACTTCTTCATGGAGTAGCCGCAGTCGTGCATTGGGTTAAATCCTTGTGGTGGCTGAACTGCTGACCTGAAGACCTTAAAGTTGATTGTTCGAATCTGCGAAATGGGATGAGCTCCTGTCTGTCAGCTCCAGCTTCCCATGTGGGGAAGCTGGGGCTGACATGATAGAAACCTCCCACAGGATGGTAACACATCCGGACATCTCCTGGGCAACATCCTTGCAGACGGCAAATACTTTCACACTAGAAGCAACTTGCAGTATATTCTCAAGTTGCTTCTGACATGATAAAAAAACCTTGTTTATGTAATAGGAACTCGAGCATTGGAACATAATGAGTTGCACATTTGATTTGATAGATATTTTGAGGCAAATTTTCACAAATGATGTTTTCTAATAAAAATTATAACGTTAAAAGACTGGTCTGAAAAAAAAGAGGAAGGAATGAAGGTGAAATGCCTTTAGGTTTGATACACAGGCCCATTTTCTATGTAAAATATGAACTGCTGAATCCACTTTTGTCAGATCCAGAAAGGTTTCCATATTTAGGAGATGATTATTCAGAAGAAATTTGTTCTTCTTCCAACAGATTGTCAGAAATTAACTTCAAAGAAGGAAATAAGTTATTTGATACACAGCCTCCTCTGTATTTTTGTCAGAGCGGATTATACATCCCACACATTCCCTATATAGGATCAAAGTTTGATCATTGTACTTTCCCCTTATTTTGTTTGCTGCTAGAATTATCTTTCATTTTGACCTCTGCTGTCAATAATCTATCTCCTTTGATATTGAAGAGGAGAAAATATATTGCTTTTAATTAACTGGAGTTCTGCATTTCCATTAGCTATAGATTTGAACATTTTAAGAACTGTAATTGCAGTTAATGTGGTCTTTTGGCTCCAAAGGAGCTCAAAAAACAAACAAACAAAAAACTAACAAAAAACTAACAACAGATTAGATAGGTAAAGGTAAAGATTTCCCTGACGTTAAGCCTAGTCTTGTCTGACTCGGAGGAGTGGTGCTCATCTCAATTTCTAAGCCGAAGAACTGGTGTTGTCCATAGACACCTCCAAAGTCATGTGGCCAGCATGACTGCATGAAGTGCCTTTATCTTCCCGCAGAAGTGTTATCTATTGATCTACTCACATTTGCATGTTTTCAAACTGCTAGGTTGGCAGAAGCTGGGCCTGACAGTGGGAGTTCACCCTGCTCCCCAGATTCAAACCACCAACCTTTTGGTCAGCAAGTTCAGCAGCTCAGCAATTTAACCCCTGCATTACCAGGGGCCCCACAGCTTAGATATTAATGATTTTATAGCAGGGAATGAAATCAAGATGGTTGCTCTTTTAAAGACATTGGAAATAGCTTGTTGTGTTTTTAAAAAATGTATATAAATAAGGAACACGGGAGAGCGTGTACTTTAAATATCCAAAATCAAGCTTAGTATCTTCATTGCTTTGGGAAGTAAAAGTGTTTAGCTATTCATTATTATCTTTTAATGTCAAGTTATTATTGTAGAAAGGAGTGTGTTTTGATTATGGTAGTGGCGGCAGCATTGATACTAAAATGTGAAATTGTTCCTATCTGACTCGCTGTCTTCTTGTGAGAGCATTATTAGAGAGGTTTTTTTAAATGTGTATTTTGAGTTTTGTTATGTCCCATGATTTTCTGTTATGGTTCAGACATCAATGAAATTTCTTTGTTCTGCGTCAGATCAGGACAGAATCATGACTTACTTTTTAACAAAGAGATCTGGCTGAAGGCCATAGTCAACTCCAAAAGGGCGATTCAGAGATGAGGATATGGTTATTTTGGCCAGCCTTACTAGGCATTTGCGTGTCATATTATGATTAAAATGAAGATGTCCCATTGCCAAAGGAGAAACCTTTAAGGCGCTAAGCAACTTTTTCGAAATAAATATTGGTCTGGTGTTTTACGTAGTTTCAAACTTGACTGAGGACTCACAGAGGAAGAATCACAAAAGCTAGTAAAACAAGAATGAATACAGGGAAAACATTTTGCTAATCTTATAAACAAAACATTCTTGTATTCCATCCTTAAGCGTGTTGGAGACTTTATTTGTCAATAGCCCTGATTGATGCTAAAGTGGACACAATACAGTTGTTATTGGTGATAACTGTTGTTATCACCACTACTTGCTTATGTATCCTTCTCCCTGGAAGCAGAAAGAGTTGGAAGAGACCTCATGGGCCATCCTGCCAAGAAGCAGAAAAATCGCATTCAAAGCACCCCGACAGATGGCCATCCAGCCTGTTTAAACGCCTCCAAAGAAGGAGCCCCCACCACAGTCCAGGGCAGAGAGTTCCACTGCTGAACAGCTTTCCCAGTCAGGAAGTTCTTTCTAATGTTCAGATGGAATCTCCTAGACAATGTTGGAAAAGCTAAAATGCAGATCTTTGGCTCACTGTAGTGACTCTCAATCCAGTATCTGCTATTGTCGACCTGAGTTCATAGAATTGTAGTGTTTGAAGGACATTGGAATGGGTATTCTAGGCAGACCAGAAAATTATTCAGGTGCAAACCTCATTGTTGAGAAAATGCCAGCTTTGTTTGTATTGAACGTATAATAATTCTCTTCTTGTCTTGTTTCCTACTGTCTAAGATTTCTAGAAAGGAATACCTTGCCACTATTCTTTCTCTGTCTGCTTGTCCTATCCTTGGAATTCAAAGACATAGCTTTGAAAAGAAAATGCTGAGCCAGCTGTTTTTACTAGACTGTACAGTTCAGTACTCGTACAAAGAAACTGATGTATTCCAGATTAGACAGCAATTTCATTTTGGCTAATTCATTCTGTGGGATGTGAATTGTGATATGATTTATGTAGAAGTATATCCGTTAGGAAAGAGACCTGGAACAATCAGATTGCTTCATCCAGGTACCAATTTGTTATCAGAGGAAAAGACTCTACCGTTTTGGCATCCTTGAAATGCAGAAGGCAACAATAAAGCAGCCTTTTTCGTCTCTTTTCTGCCAATATGTAAATATTATATTTGTTTTACTGCTTGCAATTTAGATTTTTTTCTATTGATCTCTCTTTGCTATTCAATTTGCAATATAAATCTTGGGTTTTTATGAGGAGCAAAACAGCACTATTGTGCCATGGCTGAGAATAATAAGCAGCACTATGAAATTCAATAACATTGAACTGAAAAGCAATTGAAACTTTCTGCAGAAATGAGCAGATTTTAATTTCAAATCTGTAAAAAGAAAACTTTCATGCTTTCCCTTTCCCACACTTCAAGACTGTGGATCAAGCTAGTAAAAATCAAGGATTGAATTTTATGGATCTTTTAGGCTGGCAACATTGCTTAATGGTTTTTAACTGGGAATTTTAAAAAAAATCCTGTTTATATTTAATCTTGTCTTAATGTTCGTATATATGTATATTTTAAATAATTATATTGATGCTTTTATGCTAAACTACTTCGGGAGAGATAAAGTAGGGTATTAATAATAGTAATAATAATGAGCAAAGGGAGCTGGCATTGGCTAGAGCAATACATAAAACATATTCTTCTGAATTAAACACTTTCTTCAGAATTAGTTCCGGAAATTGCTATACTACAAACTCTCAAACATTTGGATTGTAATAGATGCAATACTGGGACTTGTGATTCATGGATCTTGGATCAATCACTGTCTCTTGCCTTGGGGTTGGGAACTGTCCTGCAAGACTTACGTGGCCTTCCATGATTGTTCTTGTGATCCCTGAAATCCATTCACCGGCCTTCCAGAACTTTTGAAAAACAAAAATAGACAGTCACCACTTCTGGGTTTTTCTGGAGGATGCAATACATGTTCATAGTAAACAAGGTATGCTGTTCCACACAAACCTTGTTTTAAATTCAAAAGTGAGAGATCCAGTGAGAGGAATAGGGCAGCTGTGGTCCTGAACAATCTCATGTCTGAAATACTCTGAGCTACATGAAAGGTTGCTGGGAGAATAAAACTGCAAACTTCATAGCTTCTGCCAGGAAGGATAAGAAAATCCTTTATTTAATAGAATGGAACACCTTTTAAAAATGGGTGTTGTGCCCATGTCTTACTTATCATGGTTCAATCTTGAAGAATGTTTCATTCCTGATCCACAATTTCTCTTGATCTTACTTATTTTTCCTACATGCCTTTTTCAAAATGCATTTATATTTAAAGCTCCTCCACAGCACTATTAGTTGGGTCTGCCAAAGGTGTAACTATGAGGGACAGGAGACAAAATGAGGACATTAGCTCCTCAAATAAGAATTCTGCCCCCTAAAATGAACTTTTCCTTCAGTCTTCAATTTTTTAACATTGCAGAGCGTGATAGTGAAAGTTGTTCATACCTAGAACTGTTATGTTTGTGATGTTCATGTTCCCTTGGTGGATTTATTTGCACCTTTTCTTTGGATAGCTAAACATTTAAATACTCAACTGAATGTTTAAGTTACAGCAAAGCTAGACATTTGAAGCCAGAAGGAAAATGTCATGGGGGAAGGAAAAAAACCTTATTTTTTCACACACACACACACACACACACACCAACTGAGATCAATTGAAAACACACCAGTATCATTTATGTGGAATCAGACTATCTTAAAATGTCAGAATTGCTGTTTACTCTAAGAGTTGTAGTGTTGGATTTCTATACTATCAAAGAAGAAGTTCTAGGTATTTTTGGAGCCACCCAGGCAGGTAATGTCACAAAGGACTTCATGTGGCAATATAAAGTGGTAGCTGTCCATGGTACTAACACCTTATACACCATCTGAAGACCCATCTACATGAGCCACATACTCCGGGGCTGGTCTGAAGTGACAATATGCTGGATTGACTACAATATGCTACACTGCCTGACTCCATTCGCTGCAGCAGCAAGGCTGAGTCGACTGCCCAGAAGTGCTGAATCTGGTTTGACCCCTCTGGATGGCCACTATTACCTGTGTTCTGTTGTCCTCAATATAGTAGTAGTGTGGCCACAAATCTCCAAAGAGCTCCTAGCTATCCCTAGGCACCTTTGCCTAGAGAAGCAAAAGCACACATGCAATTCAGAGAGGAGGGGAATAAGGAGGGAATGATCCCCCTCTCCACGTAATGTGAGCATTTTTGCTGAAGTTAGTAAAAGCACTTAGAGATAGTCAGGAATTCTTTGGAGTTCTATGGCAACTACAGTGGTAACAACATGACACAGGTAAGAGCATGGAGGAAACAGGATGATGGCACTGACCCGCATGAACAGTAGGGCTGATTGTGAATCAGAATCGCCCTAACTGTTCACATTATGTCAAAACGTGGGGCTGCTCCACAACTTTTAAGAAGCTTGAGAACATTCCCCAATTTTCTACAACAGGAACACAATCCCCTGAAGTGTCTGTGGCTTGCCTTAGGGCAAGATGGCTCAAAGCATCATGTAAATACTGCAGAGTGGATTCTTACACACTTCTAGGTAGCGTGCCCATGTGGATATGCCTTGAGATAAGAATAACATAGCTCCTCTTTTTATTTTGCCAGGAGAAACCTACTATGTAACTTACTGCAAGTAGTCTTTAAATATAGCAGTCTATATGCATGCATGCTTCGTGTTCAGGACAATTTAATATTCCTTTCTTTTGCCAGTTTAATAAACCATCATGTCTACTGCAATAAGAAGTCAAAATATTGCATCTTAAATCTCAAACCTAATGAAATTACTATGTGTTCTAATTACAATTAGAATGATAGTGTGAATAAAATGTATAATAGGAAGTAGGAATCATTTTTTAAAAAGCTAACACCTTTTTTGTTCCTTACAGAGTATATGGGTTAGTACCTACGTGTTTACAATTTGCTTTGCTGCTAATGTTGGACTGTTGTACGGTGTAGTCTGCACTATACTGATAGTGGTTTTCCGCTTCCCAAGGTGAGACGCTCCTGCAGATATTGAAATCATGTTATTTTATCTACTTTAAAAAAATATTTCAATCTACTTCATTAAATGAAAATCTGTACTACCTACTTAAATGCCATTTTCGGTAATTTCATAATTTTTACAATTTTTACTGGGTTTTTACATGTATTGTTGTTTTTATACTTACGTCATATATTTATACTTGTTTATTTATGTACTGTGTATTGTGGTTTATTTGTGGCATTGTAGTGCTTCTGTGAGCCGCCCTGAGTCCCCCTGGGTAGATGGTGGAGGGGTACAAATAAAGATTTATTATATAGTATTATAATGCCAGTTTAGTTGTCATGCCTTTCTCCAGAGTCCAGGTTTGTCCAGAAGGTTGATAATTTTGTTCCCCAGAATGCATCCCGAATGCATATTCATTCATGAAATTAGTAATCTGTTGTATTTCACATTGAAATTGTCAGAGACCACAAGGAAACTGTTAATTTTATAAAAGACCTAGTCATTTACATCCAAGGTGAACACAGCTTTATTTTCCCCCCTTTTATGCACATGTTACAGAGCAACAACACTGAGCCTGAAACAGATGAAAGAAGCAGAATGCAGATTCAAAACAGAAACAGATAGCGTAAGCTCAGTTTTCTTATTCTCCTTTATATCCTAAGAAAGAGAATGTTCATCTTTGGAGAATGTGCTTGTCTTTTCTGGAAACACAGGAATTTCAACTCTCCGGAGAGAACAACACATAGAGACATTTTTCTTATGTATAACCTTCAATGAAAACCTCATTAACCAGGCAATAGTTGGCATGCAACTGGCATCCCTTGGCATTCAAGATAATACTGGACATCTGTCAGGTCCTCATCCACAAATCACCTCTTCTTTCAATTTTCACACCTCATCCATACTTAATTCTTCCAGGGTTTCTTTCAATTTACGATTTATATTTATTTGCACGCTGTTGTGTTTTGCTACTGCATATTATGTGTCTTCAAGTCATTTTCAATGTATGGCTACCCAAAGGCTAGTCTACCAAGTTTGGGTTTTTTGGGAGGCAAGTTTGACTCAGTGGGAGGTTGACATTGGCTTCCCCCCTTAAATTGAAAGACAGTGACTTGCCCAAGGTTCCCACGGCTGAACAAGGACTTTGAGTTCAGTACTCAAACTATTGCACCATGCTGCATTTCCCTTAAGGATTCCATAAACTGTATCTACCTCATGAGAATTGATTCCTTTCACACAAAATGTAGTATGTCTTGGGTGATATAAACATGTTTGGAAAACATGCAGATTGCAGAAAATGCGTTCACATTTCTGTAATTTTCATGTAGTCAGTTTAAACCCCTTGCTCCATTATGCTTTTCTGCAACTGCTGGATGATGTAGTAGTTTTCAATAAAGCCATGTTTGATTGGTTTTCTTCAAATGCCATTCTTTTTTTTTTCTATTCCAAAGGAGTCTTCACAACAAGTGAAAATAGTTTCTGTAAATAATCCATTAGTGTTTTTGAATGCCAAGAAGTTTCACATGGATGTATCAAAACTAATCCAAAAGGAGATCACATGCATATATCTACCTGAAGATATGAACAAGGTAGGGCACAGAGGTTGGAAAAATAACACTGTTCCAGAACCCCACAGACAGAATGGCTAGCATGACATTTGGTAAAGTATGCTTGGTGATGGAGTTTTTTTTTTTTTTTGCATTTCTATTATACAGTTGTAGACCATGTTTTTCATCTATACAATGAAATAGAGAACCATCTTATACTTTAAAATCACATAATTAATGGCTCTAGAATAGCAATTTCTATACCCTAGAAGCTATTGTATTTGACCTTTTCGGGGAACTGCCATGACTCAAGAGAAGAAAATACACCATAGAAGACATGAGAATAGAAACCTGTCAGATTACTGACCCACCTCGCTAACCTTTGTTTCTACCAGGTGCAGCCTATGGATTGTGTGAATTAAATGACTTTTTGTACCCTTAGAGGGGATTTTGAGGATAATCTTTTCACATGGGGAGTGTATCAGAGAATGTGGCCCTGCATTATGTCTCCCAGACCTTAGCAGTTTCCCAACACTGCTCTACACTAACTGGCAGCTGCCCTCCAAAACATACCTGGATATGGCTAGAATTGACCCTGAGATCTTCTGCACACAAAATATAAGGTCATTGCCATATTCTATCTGTGGGATTTGTAGTAAAAGGATGTATTCTTTAAATTGTTATTGGCAAATACGTAGGATTGAATAGAACATTTATTAACAGGTCTCAATAAAAAAGGGACGAGTGACCTCTCAGATGTAGTTGGCTGCAACTCCATTTCTTCATTTTCAAAGGGTGATATACACTAAAGAATTAATGTAATTTTGACACAACTTTAACAGCCATTGCACAATGCTATGAGTTCATGGAAGTTGTCGTTTGGTGCGGCACCAGCACTCTTTGGCAGAGCAGGCTAAAGACCTTGTAAAACTTCAACTCCCATTATTCCATAGCATTGACTCATGGCAGTTAAAGTGGGGTCAAACTGCAGTAATTCTACAGTGTAGATACACAGTGTGAGCAGCATTGCAATCCAAAAACATCCAGTGGGCTCCAAGTTTCACCCTTTCTGCAAAGAAAGAGACACCTTGTAGTAAACATGATTTGGAAATTATTGTAGGGCACCTTATCTTGTTATTTAAAGCTTCCCATAAGTTTGGGACTGATCGAGCATGTTAACCTGGAATGTTCACATCTGGACAAATCAGGCAGATCAATTCAGCCATTTTGTCAGCTTGCATTCATTGTGAAACCTTTTCACAGTGTGAGTGTAGGTTCTGGGCCAAGAGACTTACATGCCTACTTGCTCCCTTACTGTTTAGCCTATGATCTGTTTATTTTCAAATAAGGAGGTCTTGCCAGTAGTGGGCAATGAGGTGGTTTTCTCCTCTGTTGCAGAAGAATGTGAGCAAAAAAGAAAGGTCTGTCCTAACCTGAAATATTTAGAAGGCAGTGATGTGGGCCGTGGGTGTCTTAATTTGCACTCAGCAAGTGTCTGGTTGCTTTACCTCTTTCAAGGAATCTGACCCCCTAAAGTTTCCCTGGAAACTCTCACAGCTCAGACAACTGGGAACTATTTATTTCCCCCCTGCATAGTAAGTGTGTGTGATTTGGCAAAATTCAAGCCAAATTCCATTGCTGCAGAGGCAGAATACTTATGTTGATTTTGGTTAGGTATGGCTGAAGGTGCAAGAGCTTGATTTTCAGAGCAGTCACTCTAAACAAGGCCCTTGATTATGTGCAATTATATGTGAAACTCCTTTGGAAATTTATGTTTGAGGCTATGGGAATTGATCCAGATTTAGGAATCTAGGAGCATGCTTTAAAGTATGCCTAAGAAAACAATGACCTGGCTAGAGCTAAGAAGCCAGGAGCCCAGAAACTGGTGATAGATAAGATACAAGACTCAATTTATGCAAATAAATAAATACATCCACAATAAATAAATACAAGTCATTCTGATATTTAGCATGCACATAGCCCAAAGGTGAAAAAAATGATTTTGGGTCTATATCTCTGATAGTCTCCAACCAGCATGTGCTTGAAAAAAAAACGAAACCTTTTCAAGCTCTGACACACCCAACACACTTTTCCTTCTTGTTGAAACTTTACATAATTACATAATAAATCAACAACCCAGGAAGAATGATATATAAGGAGATGTGTTGAATTTTGTCAAATTACACACACTTATGGGGAGAAATAAATAGCTCCATGTTGTCTGAGCTGTGGGATTTTCCAGAAGTTTACATGGTCAGATTCTTTGAGAGAGGTAGAGCAACCAGGCTCTTGCCTAATTCATAGAATCATAGAATTGGAAGAGACCTTGTGGACTATCCAGTCCAACCCCCTGTCAAGAAGCAGGGAAATCACATTCAAAACACCCCCAACAAATGGCCATCCAGCCTCTGCTTAAAAGCCTCCAAAGAAGGAGCCTCCATCACAGATCAAGAACTGTTGATATAAACTATCCATAAACCTCCATATGGAAAACAGTAGCTATTTTTGGAGAATAGAAAGGAGAGGACTGTCTTTAATCAATAATCTGTTTTTCTTTTTGCTTCAGTTTGAACAGAACACATTGCTCAGCCCAGTATCTAATGGAAATTGTCATGGTGAGTTTACTGTTTACAACTTACCCTAAATTTTCTATTTCATCTTCAGTGTCAAATGGTTAATGTTTAATCCAGAATCAAACCTAGCATAGCATTCCTAATCTTTCTTATCTGCCACAGTGATGAGTAAAAATCCTGGAGCCAAAAGTGTACAAAGAATGACATGGGAGGTGAGGGAAAGGGTCAGTTTTGTCCCCTTGGACCCTGCTTCAGGTCTCAATCCCCCTCCCACACGATCAAATTTTGATGGCAAAGCGTAAAGTACTATTAAAGCAGGAAATGGGATTGCTCCTCTCAAAAGGAACCGATTTTGAAGATAGAAATACTAATAAAAGTGCTTGCATCTGTAAATAAAGCCACAAAAGCAGCAGAATCAACTTTGGTAGAGCAAGTGCAGCATAGTTATCTGAATGTTGGACTATGACTCTGGAGACCAAGATTTGAGTCCTTATTCAGCCATGGAAACCCACTGGGTCATACACTCTGAACTCCAGAAGGCCCCATGGCAGGTGGGCCTTAGTGTCATGAGAAGTTGGACATGATTTTCAAGCACACAACAAGGGCATGATGCCTCAGAACTGTTGTCGTGTTCCTTCAAGACACTAAGGTCAACCTGCTATGGAGCTTTCTTGGCAAAAGTTCTTCATATTAGGTTTTCTTCCTCTTTCCTCTAAGTATGAGAAAGTGTGACTTGCCCAAGTTTACTCAGTGATCTTCCATGGCTAAGGAGAGGGCTGACTCCTGGTCTTCAGAGCCGTATTCCAACACTCAAACCACCACACCAGAACTAGGGATGTGTAGAACTTCCTGATTCTGATTTTCTCCATTTTCTTCTCACCCTTGTTTTGTATCAGATTGAATGTCTTTGTGATCACTTCTTGAAGTGAAATTTCCACACATTTTTGTAACACATTTCCTGAATTTTGCACAATCTTACTATCATCTACACAACACCGTCCTCTCAATTGAAGCCTATTTTTGCATCCTTTCTTTATGTTATGTGTTCCAACCATTACCATTTTGAAATGTGCACCTTGTTTTTGTTTAAACTCCCTTGGAAATGCCTAGTTAAGCCCCTTTCAAATGTGTGTATGTCTGACACAAGGTGCACGTTTCCTTGCAACAAATCTTAGGAGGTATAAGAATGACACTTCCATTGGCACTGTGGAGTGAACACACATTTCTTTTCATTCCTACTCATGAAACTAGCATATCTGCTAATACCAACATGAACCATTCTAATTCATGTCCCCTGCTTTATTTCATTATGATGTCAAAAGTTTAAGGGAGAACTGTTTTGAGAATGGGAAGAATCTGAACTTTAGAATATAACCGAGGCCAATGTATTTTGTTGCCAATGCAAGCAGCCATCAGTTTCCTTGCCCAAAGATGCCCAAAATACAAGCACGCTTTTTTGAACTCTGTATAACATTAAAAAGCATAACATTTGATAGAACTGTTCATCATCTTGGAGGCCTTGAAATGTCAACACTGTCCTTTCTCCCTTTTGTTTACGCAAATCAATAACCACAAAAACCCCCAAAACAAATATGGAATTATCAAAGCTTTTGATTTCCTCTTCCATCATTGCTGGTATTTTATTATCTCAGAGTGTCAGAGATTTCCTTTTTCTCTTGGACATTTTTGAGTTAGTTTTAGAGAGGATTGCAATTCTCTTAAGTCTATTTTTGGTTACGGTCACTCTGGAGTTTCCTTTTTATATATATTCCTTTCTGTTTTGTCTCCTTGAAGTATATTTATGCATATACAATTAAGTAAGCCTATAAACCTCTGGAGCTGCAAACTCAAAAGGCATTTGGATTTTGAGTACTTTTTTAAAAAAAGGATTTGGTGCCATTATAAATCCACACACAGTGCTGGCACTTAAGTCCCTCGAATAATTTCAAATCTCTTTATATTCTTTGTCAGAACTGTTTAGTTTAAACCATTTCATATTTAACCTCTAGTCTTTTATTCAGAGCTATGTACTTTATAATATCTAAAAGGTTCATTCACATGCACTTCTTCAAGAACCCCAGAACTTTTAGGGTGAGTGGATGGGTTGCAAGGTTAATAGGCAGATAGTTATTAATTTTGGAGCACCTTGAAAGGAAAGGGATTATGACTTTTCCCATCCATTATCACTGAAGTACCCTTAAAATGTACTCTTACAAGCGCAATGTATATGATTAAATGCTTACTCTGAAGTAAATGTGGAGAGAACAGATCTCTGCAAGACTTTATTATTACTGGCAGAACACAATGGCAATCACCGTATTAATATTTCTTAGTGCTTCATCATTTCTGACGTTTCTGGTATTCCAGCATGGCATTTTTGTCCCCTTAGGTCTAAGAGAAGCCTGAAAGTAGGAACGAAACTTTTTTCTGATCCTATAACTCCCTACCAAAAGAAAGGAGGCAAAATATAGCAAAATTAATCTCAATGGACAGGTACAAAGCCTGTTGCAATAGAGACTGCACATTTTCAGAATTAACACAATCATTGTGTTAGTTGCACATGTTACTGTACAAACGTTGTGCAAGCAAGATACCAGCAGTTGTGCAAGTAGCTGAACACTCTCTTGTACAACTGCTTTTTCAATGGTGCAATCTTGTGCAAATGTACTAGTAGTACCTTATGTTATATTGGATTTTGGCTAAGGAGATGATATGTAGTTGTTTATTATGTCTTTATACAGGGATGGCCCTCCAGATGTTTGGGACTGCAACTCCCAGATACCCTGGCCAGCTTGTCCAATGGTCAGGAATTCTGGAAGTTGAAGTCAAAACACCCAGAGGACCAAAGGCTGGATAGCACTGCTTTACAATAATGATGGGTCTGTCCTGCAGCCGAACATGGTGGGATGGGGACTGGGTATTTTCTCACTGAAGAACCCTATCACTGGTGGCTTCAGCATCACTGGTGATTTCAATGAAATACTGAAGTTCTCCAGAGCTTCGGAGAAATGGGATAGTGCAATTTATAAACTCCAGGGGATACCATCCTTTCTATGGAAGTTTGCAATTATTACTGGTTCAGGCAATCCATATCATGGTTTGGTGAGCTGAAGTCCAAAAACACATGAAAGGCCATAATTGTTGCATATGTTTATGGAATCGTGAGACTGATAATCTTAGAAGCGCCTCTTTCCGTAATAATAACAATAATATGATAATGATGATGTGCTTCAACTATCCATATAGGAGAGTCCTCATTACAGCAGCGCACTGTTGAAAGGCAGACTTTAATATTTGATTGCAGTGGTCTGACACTCTTTGACTACACTGGAATCGCTGTACTTACTCAGGTGTGTATAATCTTCCATATGCATTTTATTGCGCCCAGGGACAGCTGGTGGCTTGGAGGCAGTAAATCAACTGTGGGTTGTGTCTGAAATGGAAAAGAGCTATCCAAGGTGCTGAATCTATTTTAGTATCCTAGAGATGTCCTTTAAAGTTTGATCTAAAATCCAAACTACGTTCACTGCCTCCCTGATATAGAAGCCACCATCAGCCATTGATGGTTTCCACCATTATATATGGTTTTTTGTGGGGTGGGGGGAATGCACTGTAATCCCACAGAATTTGAACAACCGGGCTGACCAGGATCTCATGTTTGTCCTCTGATAAAAATAATTGAATCAGTGAAACTGGATTCTGAAATTCTCCCTCCCCATATAGCCTCCTATTTTCCAATGTTTACCCTTTAATTGTTTAGTCGCCCCACAAAATAAGCTAATACTGTATAACTGTTTATGGGAGTCTTCTCTCAACCTGGAAAGATAAATCTGGTATCCCCCCCCCCCCCTCATATTCAATTTCTTGTTTTCCTTGCCTTTTCCCTCCTTTGGGATGTAGAATACTTGAAGATCTTGTTCAATCCCTATTTTGAAATGAACAAACCTCATTCTGGGCTAATGTGGAAATCACATCCTATGGACTTTGCACTTCTGTGAATTTTGTAATACAGTTCTCATCTAAAAAAAACTTTAACAAAATGAATACAAAATGCATATTTGGGACAAAATGTGTTAACAAATCTATGTTTACAGAGAAAATACATTATGAGGTGCATATTTTACGTGCACATGTGTTCACGAATGCATATTGAAACATTCATTTCAACATAATTTTTATAGTTTTTTCTGGAAAAAAAACATAAGTGTTTTTAAATATGGGACAGAATAGATGAATGCATACTAGAAGAGCTTAATAAACACAAATAAGTCTAAATTGGACCAAAAATAGACTGATATCTCCATTCCTGCTGGGAGGTTTTTCCTTTGGTTGGTTTTTCTTTTTGACCAAGTTCAGTTTCTCCCCTTTTCACCTTCTTTGCTAGTCTTTCCCTTTTTGCTTTCCCATAAAATGACCTATCCAAATCCTTTGGCAGCCTTCCTCTGTTATGATTGGATACCTAGCGATCGAGTGAATTACAATGTAGTAAAAGAAACAGTTCAAATCTCATGAGTCAAACATGCAAGTATTATTACTCAGTAAGTTGATGAGAGGGGGAAAAGGGTCAAAGAGTCAAACCAATCATAAGGTACCGCCACTCCACTCTCTTACATTGCTTTTCTGTAGGCATTTGCTGTTGTGGAAATTATTTGTCAGGCAGAAGCTGGCAGGATTTATCCTGAAGCAATGCTTGGCAGCTTCTGGAGGCAGCTGCAGTTATTACCCAAAAGCATCAAAAAGGAATATTGAGAGGTGACTCACAAATCTTTACTGCAAAGTTCCAGTTAACTTTCAAAATGGCAACTCGCAGATAATCCCATCAGCCACCCTTACCTTATGGAGCGATTCAAGAGTTCTTGAATGTACCACCTAGTCATAGGACAGTGCTATCTTTGCAAGAGTCAACAGAAGGTTGTGGGTTTTTGAGTTTCCTAGAACGACCTGAGGTTTATTTAGTTATTTATTTTCAGTATTTATATTCTGTCCTTCTCACCCCACAGGGGACTCAGGGCAGATTGCAATGCACATATACATGGCAAACATTCAATTCCATTTAGACATACAAGATATATAGACAAACACAGAGGCAATTTAACATTCCAGCTTTTTTTTTTCCGGCTTCATGAGGGTATGCTCGGTTCCGGCCACAGGGGGATCTGCCACTTCACCATCCACTTGTGACACTGGGTCCTTTGATGGAGTACTTCCTGATTCTTCTGCATGCTGCTGGAAGGATTTATGGCATTGCAAATTAGTTAAATTAGCTTCCCCGCATAAAGCAGTACCTAAATTTCCTACTTGACAGATGCACTGTCTTTCGGGCTGCATAGGTCAACAGCAAGCTAGACTATTAATGGTCAGGAGCATACTCTGACCCGGGCTGGCTTTGAACTCATGACCTCTCGGTCAGTAGTAATTTAATTCAGCTGGCTACTAACTAGCTGTGCCACAGAGGATGCTAAGCAAAAAATGGTCATGGCAGCTAACATCTGGACAGGATTTAGGTATTAACTTTGTTATGACTTTTGGATTGTTTTCTAGCATGCCTACTGACATAGGCATAAACTCGCAATAGAAAGCCTGTATTATAGATTCTATAAGGAGGGCAGAGCGAGCAAGGATCAGCATTATAATCCACAAGACAACAGTTGTGGAGTCGAACAGGTGTCACACAATAACACCCTCTGGGACCGACCCTCCAGGAAGGACTGGAGCGACTGCAGAGCAGTACCTCCAAGTCCCATTTCTGCAAGGCGTCCCAGAAGGATACCGTGGTCAACGGTATTGAAGGCCGCTGAGTGGTCCAGCAGAACTAATGGGGACGCACTCCCCCTGTCTAGCTCCCGGCGTAGATCATCTACTAAGGCAACCAAGGCTGTCTCAATTCCATGTCTCAGCCTAAAGCCAGACTGTGCTGGATCAAGATAATCGGTGTCTACCAAGAACCCCTGGAGTTGTGAGTTTACCTTTGAAGATGCTCAAGAAACAAATCAAGTCTATGCTTTACTCTCTGTATATTTTACATTGGCATTATTGGGCAAGCTCATCATTTCAGCTGAAAGCCTCTTAAAATTAAGAACAGTATGACGCTCATATGGGGGAATGCATTCCTAGACTCACAGGAGATGCTTGAAACCATGAATAGTGCACCTTGTATATAAACCACTTTCCCCCAAACTTTGATCCTCCAGATCTTTGGATTCTAACTCCTAGAATAACAAGAAAGATTATCCAATAGTCAGGAATTCTGTGAACTGAAGGCCAAAATAAACCAAAGTTGGGGAACCACGAATTACAACTGTACTTGAGCTAGAAGCATAGCATAGAGTCATACATTTCTGAGGGGAGATAGTATTTTTTAGTTCAGGGGAGAGTGAAACAGTAGATAAAGGGGTTGTACTGTACTAGTTCTAGAGAACATGAGGAACAGCATGGGACACAGCAATTCCTTTCGTGGCTTCCTTGGGAGGCACCTTCTTAACCACTGAGGGAAAGAGGATTCTAGAGTAGATACTAGGTTATTAGAAGAGCTTGCTTGAATGAGAGGGGCCTTAATCTGTACATGATAACATTTTAATCTTATCACTGTATACCTTGAAAAGATCATAGGCTCTGCAGGATATTTATATTATAGAACATCTCCCTCTGGTGGTCACTTGCAGTGTAGCAAGACTCCCCCCCCCCCGCCCCCCAAATAATTGAGAGTGTATTAGGAATTGTACCTGTGCAAATACGAAATTATAAAACCAAATGGATCATTTCAGAACGGTTTGCTCCAACTCTAGATCAAATCTGTCTGGCTCATTCTGGATTAGACTGGTACAGTCTGAAGTTATTTGGATTGAACCACACACTTAAATATCAATAATAAGTTGTGGGGCGGGGGTGATGTGACGTGTATGAAAGACATCAGAGTAATGAATGTAATGCAGAGGAGCGGGAAGCAATCTGGATTTTTCTTCTTGGAAATTTTAGCATGCATTCTGTACAAGCCTCTCTCTAGCGCTTTTGAGCCACAATAATTATGGGGAACTACCTAAGATTACTGAAGTTATAGTCAGTTACGACCTCCTTTTCACTCTTATGGGGATTTATTTATTTATTTATTTATTTACTATATTTGTATACTGCCCTTCTCAGCCCTCAGGCAACTCAGGGTGGTTTACAGAGGCAACGATTCGATGCCCAATACACCATAAGACATTTAAAAGCATGAACACATAATGTAAAACCATAACAATAGTATTGAAAACACACATCAATTATGCCTCCTAATAAAAACATTGTCCAATCTCATCATCCAGTAGTTCCAATTCCTATGTCATTTACCTTGCGTTTTCAAACGATTGTTCAAACAACCAAGTCTTGATTCTTTTCCGAAATGTTTAGAGGGAGGAGGGTGATCTAATGTCCCCAGGAAGGGCATTCCATAGCCAAGGGGCCACCACTGAGAAGGCCCTGTCTCTCGTTCCCATCAAACGTGTTTGTGATGCAGGTGGGATCGAGAGCAGGGCCTCCCTGGACAATCTTAAGGTCCTAACAGGTTCATAAGGATTGATGCGTTTGGACAGGTAGATTGGGCCAGAACCGTTTAGGGATTGTGTGACATCACTGTAATTACGTAATTTTGTCTTGCACATTTTCATTCTTTTACTAGTTTTTAGGAATTACTAGCAAACTGGAAAGAACTGGGGTGTACATTTGGGCATCCATCTAGTGACTGTCTTCTGAATGTTGTCTCCTAAAAGCCATTATCATGTAATTTCCCCTTATTTCATCAAGAGCCTAGCTCTTTCCCTTGTTTGCCTTTTAGTTAATTTGAGTAGTAATGAGCTCGTGAGTTTTATGTATCCTGCTCCTCAACTGATTCTAGTTGTTGCTAGGTGTCTGATGTGTTTTTCTCTCTCTACTATTAGTCTTTTCTGGTTCTTCTAACTGTGTCCTCTTTGTTATTTTAGTTTGCCAGTAAGCACATTTATTTAATTTGCAAGGCACGTATATTATTATTTTAATCACATGTTTAATTTATGTTATGAAAGAAGCAAAACATTGTGATTTATTATGTCTTGATTTCAGCAAGTAAACTACTAGATTTGATTTCCATTAGATTTCTCAATTAGTTTAACTTCTATACCATTTACAGTTTAAACAGTTATTATTATTTCTATGTCTGATCATTAGTTCAACGTAATTACAAGGCATCACTGGAGCAGCAACACAAATCTACATTGTGTCTGTAGGGACCGAGGATGACAAATTGGTTTGCTATCTTTCCCAAAAGATTCTTACAGGAAAGTAGTGTTGTTACTAGTGAAACCAAGTCTGTTTCCACTATCAAAAAGGCTTTACTTGAGCTGGGAGATCAGAAGGAGGGAGGAGGTGGCTCAGTAGCAGCACCATCATAGGGAAAGCTTATGAGATGGCATACCTGTCCTGATTTGACAAGTGCAATCCCAGTTAGTTCTCTGTCATTCCACCTTTTAATCTGATTTTAAAATGAGCTATTTTCTTTCTTCTTTCCAATTTTCCCCTTCACCCCCTTCACCCTCTGGAGTTCAAAATGCAAAAGTCAGAATTAACTCAGAATCATAGAATCAAAGAGTTGGAAGAGACCCCGTGGACCATCCAGTCCCCTGCCATGAAGTATGAAAATCATGTTCAAATCACCCCCAACAGATGGCCATACAGCCTCTGTTTAAAAGCCTTCAAAGAAGGAGCCTCCACCATAGTCCGGGCAGAGAGTTCTGCTGCTGAACAGCTCTCACAGTCAGGTTCTTCCTAATGTTCAGATGGAATCTCCTTTCTTGTAGTTTGAAGCTATTGTTCTGTGTCCTAGTCTCCAGGGCAGCAGAAAAGAAGCTTGCTCCCTCCTCCCAATGACTTCCCCTCACGTATTTATACCTGTCTCCTCTCAGTCTTCTCTTCTTCAGGCTAAACATGCTCAGCTCTTTCAGCCACTCCTCAAAGGGCTTGTTCTCCTTGATCATTTTAGTCGCTCTCCTCTGGACACATTCCAGCTTGTCAACATCTCCCTTCAATTGTGGTGCCCAGGATTGGACACAGTATTCCAGATGTGGTCTAACCAAGGCAGAATAGAGGGGTAGCATGACTTCCCTGGATCTAGACACTAGACTCCTATTTATGCAGGCCAAAATCCCATTGGCTTTTTTTTTGCCACCGCATTGTTGGCTCATGCGTAACTTGATGAGGGCTCCAAGATCTTTTCCACACGTACTGCTCTCAAGCCACATGTCCTCCATTCTGTCTTTTTGCATTTCATTTTTTTTTTACCTAGGTGGAGTATCTCGCATTTGTCACTATTTAACTTCATTTTGTTAGTTTTGGCCCATCTCTCTAATCTGTTAAGATCATTTTGAATTCTGTTCCTGTCTTCTGGAGTATTGGCTATCCCAATTTGGTGTAGTCTCCAAACTTGAGGATCATGCCTTCTTACCCTTCATCTAAGTCATTAATAAAGATGTTGAACAGGACCGGGCCCAGAAGTATGAGTGGAAAGAGTAAGAAGAAGAGGAGAGGAATATTGATGTTCCCAGAGGATCAGGAAAAAGCAGACTGTTGCAGCCTCTCTTCTAGGATATATGTTCTTACCCATTAATATGTTTGTGCCATCTAGACCATGCATGGGTCAACCCTCTAGGTGTTTTGGACCTCAACTCCTACAATTCCTAACAGCTGATAGGCTGTTAGGAATTGTGGGAGTTGAAGTCCAAAACACCTGGAGGGCCGAAGTTTGCCCATGGATAGTCTAGACCATACTCTGATATTTCTTGGCCACACATGTCCCAGTTTTCAGCTACGAACTGTATGAAATTGAAGAAAAGACATTATCATTTGGAAATCAGAATGAAAGTGGATCCCAAGATTAATGGCTATAAGTGTCATTTGGAATCGCTTTAGTATAGGAATGGGTCCCAAGATTACTGGCAAATGGACAAGGGTAGGTTGTGAGGCATAAGCAGCTTAACAAACAGGAGCAGCAGCAGAGCCTTGCTGCATAAAGAGAGGCAGAAAACATTCGAGAAAACAAATAGTGAAGGAAAATAATAGAATAGGAGCAAAGTGTTGCACTCTTGAGGCACATCTAATGAAACCTACGGGGTACAACTAATGAAGTCTGACAACATTTTAACTGTCATGGCTCAATGCTATGGATTCTTGGGATTTGTAGTTTTGTAAGGTCTTTACGAGAGTAAAAACAACTTTAGTTGAGCAGTCAACTTACATGTTAACTTGCCTTCCCCAAAAGTTACAAGTGCCTGACACAAACAACCCTGAAACTATCTGTTTGTAATTTGGCTGGTTTAATACACTGTTAGTCCTCAATAATATACCATAGCTATTTTGGTTTCCCAAAAGGGGAGGGCTGACAATCCAGATTTCTGAATATCAGTATAGGATCATCTTCACAAACTGGATTCTGGACTAAATAGTCTCTGTACATAGTCCTAATAAGAATGGCATGTATTGGAGTGGCATAGCGAGTCTTGCTCATTTGCCCAGGTTAATTAACACAAATCTGTAAAAATCTGAATAATATGTATTATTTAATCAGCTACTTTAATGTTTTTTTTCCTCTTTTAGATCTACACAGATTCCAAAAAAAGAAATATTGATGTTCTGTTGGCAAATTGCAAAGGTATGTATTCATTGTTTTCAAATTATTTAAAAGTCTCATTTCCTTGACCAGTGTGCTTTGCCATTCCCATGTAAAATGTCATGTTCATGTCTTCTTATAGCTTCCTTGATAAAGGCACTGAAGCTCAACAGTAGACTAGAATCAGACAATGCTGTCTTCTTTGAATCCGTTTCTTCAGCCGTAGGTGCTATTCAGTTCAACAGGGTGAGTCTCAATTCGGGATGTGAAAAGCTCTCTGTCTCAATTTTGCTGCACCTCTCCAAATTTAACTTGCATTTTCTTGGGGGTCACAGCCTCTGAGGATGCCTGCCATAGATGGAGGCAAAACATTAGGAGAGAATGCTTCCAGAACATGGCCATACAACCTGACAAACCTACAACAACCCAATTTCTATATTTTCTTAATAATCAATTTCCTCAAATTGGCTCTTTGCAATATTTTTCTTTATGTATACATTTTTGTAGATAGTGCAACATATTTTTATTCTGCTAATATACATATTTTGAGTCATATGCTATTATTTGCGCATAATTTGAGAAGAAAAGAAAAAGAGATTGCTCTTTGCAGTTTCTTTCCAATTATGTGTCACTTTTCATGGCATGGATAGGAGACCTCTCCTATTCCACATGCAAAACATTGGTTGAATTGGTACTGGAATCACTAGTAATTGTTCCTAGGCAATATTAAAAAAGAAAAGCCATATACTTCAAAATTGTCCTGATTTGGCAATCCTGATTCATATGTTGTCCCACTTTTTAAGCTGCTTTTAAATGGCCCAGTTTCTCTCTCTCCTTATTCCCTTTCCCCTCTTTGTTCTTGGCTTATATCTGTTGCTGTAAACCAGTGGTTCTCAACCTGTGTGTCCCCAGGTGTTTTGGCCTAAAGCTCCCAGGAATCGCAGCCAGTTTATCAGCTGTTAGGATTTCTGGGAGTTGAAGGCCAAAACATCTGGGGACCCACAGGTTGAGAACCACTGCTCTAAATGGAGTAAAAACTGCAAAAATAATTTACTCGGCAGTGAGGAGAGGAAGGGGTGTGTGTGAAGAAAGGATCTTGTCCTTCCTAGTAGGCTTCAGCAAACGCTAGCTTTTGTATTCTTTCATGTAAATAACCTCTGTCACCTTGACTACACTCTGATATTGCTTGGTTACATGGATCCAGTTTTCAACTGTGAAAGGGTATGCAGTATTAGCCTTCATAATGAAATTTATGGGTGAATTGTGAACTATGAGTTATATGATATTAACCAAAAACAAACAAACCCCAAACCTATCATATTTTTAACTGATAAATTCCTGGGATGTCCTGAAATAATACATGTTGGGTCATGTTTTTCCCTTTCCATTCTGTCAATGCAGTAATGCTCACATTCTTACAAATCTACATCAGCTTGGCAGCCCTGTGTTTTCCAGATGTCTGGGGCTATGTAATTCCCATTATCTCCATTTATTGTTCATTAATGGTAGCCCGGCACATCTAGAAAACACGTAGGAAGGCTATCTATACCATGCATCCCTGAACTGCTCTAAAGTCATACCTTTGCCTAAACTGTTCAGCCCCATGCCATCCTCAAAATACTGGTGTGCCCCCTTTAAGGTCCTTCCTTCCATAGATCATTATTTTCAACAGGGTGCATTCCATGTCATGGTATCACTTTGTTAGAAGTTCCTGCTCATAGAAGTAACCTGTTCTTGAGCTACAGGCAGTCAGACTAAAAACTGAAGAGGGTTCCTATATCTTTACTGGTTGTATAGAAGTGGGCATTTCAATAGGTGTTGTGTGCCAAAAGACTCCTATATCGTCACCTTTGTGATGTTTTAGGCCACCCATTCACTTGTGCAATCGTCCAAGAGCTGAATGGCCCTCAAAGTGGCCAAAATGGTGATTTTACTTCCAGTTTCTTGGTGTGGCCTCTGGGGATGGGAGAAAAATTGCCCCATCCTTCCACACACAGCCATCTAGAAAAGGCAATCTATACTTACTCCTGTCTTAATAACTCCATACACCTGTCTAATGATAAATCCACCCCTGGGCTTCCACGGATCTCTTAAGAAAGTACTATTTCAGTTGGAACCAATTTTCTTATATAAACACTGTTCCCACATTCTTAGTGTCTTAAGGCACCACCTTGCTTTACAATGTAAACTCCTGTAAGCCTCTTTGCTGTAACTGTTATTAAACCAAATGCTCAGGCAGCGTATGGAGTTCTGTTTTTTCATTGTTTTATGCATGACTGCACATTTGGCCACTGTCCAAGACAGAGTCCCCTCCAAGACAGATTAAAGCTAAATTTGCAATGAGTTGTTGCTTTCTGTTTCTCTTCTCCCTTGCCATACCATGAACAGGCACTTTCTGGTAATTAAATAAGAAAAATCTTCTTCCTTTTCCACCAAAATCACTTTAATCTGATTGAGCGAAGTAAACCAAACTGATGGTATTTGTTTACATGGATTGACTAGTGGAAGAAATGCAGGGATATATCTATTTGAAACTTATGCTCTCTAAGATTTTTTTAAACTCTTATGATCTAAACTTTACCCATTTTTATCCCAATCTTTACGGCTACCACATGATGTGAGGTGAGGTGAACCCCAATTTTTATTTTGACTTCTGTAGCCAAACTGCTATGTGCAAATTGGAGCTTGGCAGTAACATGTCACCCAACATTTTTTAGATTGAAAACTGGGACAAGTGTGGCCAGGCAACATCAGATAAGGTCAAAGTGGCAAAAGTTGTTAATGAGAAAGTTTAGAAATGTTAGTCAAAAAATCAACCTGAAAAACAGGGTTGACTTGTCCATAGACCAAAGTGAGTACTTTGTCTTAACTCTGATAAAAAAGAAACCATCCCCTTCTCGGAGGAAAGTGGTGAAAAGCAAGAGCTTAGTCCATCCCAGGAGAACTTAACCCCTCCTATTCTCCTTGCCATGGCACCACTTTTGACCTTTGTGAATGTCTGGGTAGGGAAATGGCTGCAGCGGCCAAGGGCATTGGTTTTCCCCTCTCCACAAAATGACCCTTGGCTTATCCATGGGTCATATGAAAATCCATAATTTTGGCTCCCAAGCTTCCCCTCAACTTATTAATGAGGTCAATGCATAGATAAGGTATATATGGCAAGCTCTTCCCATAGCTTCCCTCTGGGGTCCATGGCCATGTGCAGCCTCCCTTGGCACTTTTGCAGTCTCACAAACCCAAAAAAGGAATTGCGCAAAATTTACTTTAGGCCAAAAACCGTTTGCTGTGTTTTGGTCACCTGTGCCATTTATGACTTGCTTTCAAAAGTGGACACAAGTAGCCTTTCCCATGTTGCTTTACAAGAAAGCCTCTCCTGATGGATGCTGGTAGGCACTTTGCATGTATGGATGGAAGTGGGGCATTCCCTTAATATATTTGGGTTGTAGTTGTTATTTATTTATTTTGTACCCTGCCTTTCTCCAAGAAGGGGACTCAAGGTGTCTTACAACCACATACTTTGATCAATTTAAAACAAAGCAGTTACAAAAATAAAAAAATAAACAGTACTGTGTGTTAGATTAAACATTCAGTTAAAGTGAAATAAATATAATTAAAATACATTTTAAACACACAAACCCCCATCCCCAAATCCCGCCCACAACCTCCCTAGCAATGCACCCTTTATCCTTCACCAAATGTCTGCTTGCAGAAAAAAGTCTTGACCTGCTTGTGGATCATTCCTATGTTTTATCGTGATAGCAACTTTCTTATTAAAGCAGGATATTAGATATGTGCATTTGGGGTAAACCTTGTCCCATTTCATATCCCGGCTTTTGTGGGGGCCCTGATCCATTTTTGTAAGCAGGCTTTCATGTCGAGCAGATTTTCATGTGGGAAGAGGGCTTCCCGTTTCATGCTTCTGAAGAAATGGAAGACACAAAAGAAATGGTAGAAATGGTAGAAAAAAAATTGTGCACATGTCCACATGATATGTGTCTGTCTTCTGTAGATTTGCATTCAAGACATGGATCAAAGTGCTTTAGTCTTATGTTTATGGGCACTTTTAAAAAGAGAATTCAAAAGACGATGAGTGGTATCACTGTGTGACTGTTATTCCAGAATGTATTATTTTCAGATACAATGTTTTTGTTTCTTCCATTTTAGAATTTCTGCAAGCTTAATGAACACACTGAAGTCTGATGCCAGCCTGTGTTTATATATGATCTGTTGAACTGTTCATCTGCAAAAGGAACTATGCCAAAGTATTTCTTCAGATGTTTAAACATGGAAAGTTGAGGGTGATAATTTATATGCCAAGTGTATACCAATAGCAACAGTGTTTATTTTTATTGCTCCTGGATCTTCTCTGAGTTCCCATCAAGGACAAGTTTCTTTTTTAAAAAATTAATAACCTTGATTGTTCTTTGATGGTTTCATATTTTTGTATGCATTTAGATTTTAAAGAGAAAAAAAAACCTAGAAAGTAATTTAGGATATTACCATAATGTATATTGTTTTAGCTCTGGCCTAATTGTAACTTAATTGTATCATTTTGTGCACTAGAGAATACAACATTATTGAATTTTGTAGTGGAATTGATGGTATCCAGTTCAAGATCTGTGCCTTAATAAATGCAAACAGAAACTGTAATACAAGATCATTTCTCCCCCTGAAATCCCCAGGACACACATTGGAACAATCACTCCATGACTCTTTCACATTTCAACCCCAAGTGTGGGTTTTTTGAATGTTGCCTCTATATTGCACTGTATCGTACATTTTTAATTAATTTAGAAAGCTGTCTCCACCAAAAATGACCAAAACCATATGATGTCTCCTCTGTTGGAGAAGTTGGACAACTTACTTTTTGTCTACAGCTAAAGACTATGGGGACTTGCACTCTGAAGGATCATCTCCTATAGGCTCTGCTCTATTGTTCTAAATCAGTAGCATGGATTTCAACCATTCTAAGCTTTGTTCTATCCTGGGTGGGAAATAAATCCACAAAGTTCTGTAAAGTCCAATATAATGGTTCTTGCGTACTGTTGTTGCCATGCGACCAAGACTTAGTTTATTCACACCTTTAAGAGGGAAATAACTGGATTCACATTGGAATGCAGCTGCATGTGGGAGGTTGCATATTTTAGCATGCATTTTTCCCCGTGTCAGAAGCGACTTGAGAAACTGCAAGTCGCTTCTGGTGTGAGAGAATTGGTTGTCTTCTCTCATGTCCCCGCATGGGGAGCAGAAGCTGACAGTGGGAGCTCATCCATGCTCTCCCCAAATTTGAACCTGGGACCTGTCGGTCTTCAGTCCTGCCAGCATAAGGGTTTAACCCAGTCGTTTTCAACCTGGGGTCCCCAGATGTTTTTTGCCTTCAACTCCCAGAAATCCTAACAGCTGGTAAACTGGCTGGGATTTCTGGGAGTTGTAGGTCAAAAACATCTGGGGACCCTAGGTTGAGAACTACTGGTTTAACCCATTGTGCCACCGGGGGCTCCAGCATGCAATACCTGGTCTCAATTTTCCATTTACACGAAAGGGATTCAGATGGCCCAAACCACAATCTTTCAATCACACAACCCCCCTCCCATTTTTCTGTTCCAGTGTAACTATAAGGATTTGAAGTAAATGTAAAAAGATGCAGTTTTCTGAACAAGTCCAAATTGACTTCTGGTTTATGATCCTGGCATCTTTAGCTAATCCATTGTTAAAATAAACTGGTTTCTGGTTCAGATGAAACAACAAGCTGTACTTAGTTTAAATAAAAATAGACACTTTTAGTCTTTTAATGTTCCAATTTCATCCACATGCAGCCAAATATTTTCTGCATATAGTGAGTTGAAACCAAATTCTGCAATGTTTTGTGCAACATTTTGGCTTGTGCTGAAAAATAGCTTTCCCCTCAAAGTTGTTTGCTTAGTTTTGTTTAAATTGGTCTCACATGATCTCAGTGATGCTTTTATTTAGCTTAATCTTATTGGACACATTCAGCCAAGAAGAAAAAGCAGCAACAACAAGAAAACTAATTTGAATTTCATGGCAGCAAAGTATTATGACATTAATATCTTGAAACATTTTTACATCAAAAATAGTTAGTTTCAATCTGAAAACTAAAGAAGGATATTATCCCCAAAATACTCATCAACACTCATCAGTGCTACACCCAAAATTTGTATTCCTCGATGAGGAAATCCAATTTCAATTGTTAGCAGCATTTTCTTTAAAAAAATGATGATTGCAGACTTGATAAAAAAATCAGAGCCACATCCAAGTTCTTTCCAGCTACGTCTCTGCCACTTACATATCCCATTCCCAATATTGTGTTTATTGTCAATTTGTGAGTAATTAAGTTGCTTATAATTAGTTATTTATGAGTAATTGGGTTGCTTACATTATTATGAGAAGGCCAATAAAGCAATATTTCCAAAGTGATATAATGAGTAAGACCAAAGTCAATTCATTAGTATAATGTGCAATAGTGTCTGGTTTCTCTAGAGGTCACTTTCAATGGGAATATTCCAAATTTATTTCATTTCCTTATCAGCCCCAGTGTGTTTTAATTCTTCTACAAGTAATAGAAAGTAATGGACAGTACTGCGTAGTATACCAAGTAATATAAGTTACTTTTTCAGGCACTGCAATGAGTAATGGCAATGTCCTATCTATAATACTGGAACATAACAAGATGAATTGTTTCGTAACATAGCCTTACTTTGCACTGATCATTAGCCCAGGAAGAAGATCCCCTCACCTTTTTCAATATGCAAAACAAAAGAGTCATTGGAAATGTACTGTTCCTAGCAAATCATAATGGCAACTGTGACACGATGGATGGAAGAGAAAATGGCACTATAAGAAAATAGGCACGAGGAAAAAGTCATTGAAAAGAATGGGGAAGTATCTGACTCTATCACACCTTCTTTGATATAACTGAAAGTTTGAATTCCAGGGTAACTGAATCAACAGAAGTGTTTCCTACTGTCTGGAAACTATTTTCCCCTTACACTAAAGCCCACTTCCATGGTCGATTTGGGAAAAGATTCCCATCATTAATTTTCAGTAGATTTTAGTGCCTGTGGGTTGCATCTCAAGATGAATCCATATTAGGCTGCCTGCAAATTAGTCTGAGAGGAATATCAAATTGAGCTTCAGACCAAATCTTGTGGGTCTGTCCCCACCCGTGCTAATGAACTTCAGACGCTGCATTGGGTTTTACTGTTGAGTAAGCATGCATACAGCTGGAGTGAAATGAAGGCAAAATAACAATTTTTGCTTGTTGCATATTTAATGCTCAGTATTACATTGGCACAACATATCTGCAGCAGCAAAGCTTTAACTGTTATATAAGCTTTTAGTTTAAGATCCTCTCATTAATGCAAATCAAGGTCATATTTTTGGGGTGAAGGTATGAAGTAAAGTATCTAGTGATTTATTTGAAGGAGCATTTCGACATTGCAATTAGCTTTCCACATTTGCTGTGGTTTGGGGCATGGAACCACACATGAATCTGTAGGTCTTCCACAATGACCAGAAGTAATTGACCATGGATTCACACTGGAGGGAGTACAGATTTCTAGAGAGAACACCCAAATCTGTGAATAATCAAATTTGCAAGAGTCAGAAACACAAATATGGAGGGAGAAGTGTATTTCTTTTCCCTGCAATCACCAAAAAAGAAAAAAAAAGAAAAAGAAATTTCCATTGTTTCATATAGTTCTTGATTTCTCATCTTTTACACATGTACTCTCTAAGCAGAGTGTTTCCAACCTGAGTAAATTGCAACCGAGGCTTCCATTGTTTCACCTGTTTGGTATGACAATACACAAATGGCCACTTTATTAAAAATGTTTCCAAATAGATATACATATGTTCTCTGTTGTATTAGAGGAGAGCCAACTTCTTATTTGGATAATTAGAGGCAAGGCAAAAGATCTTGAAGTTTTTGCAAAACAAAAAATATATCAAGGTGTTTATTGCAAGCATAGCATAATGTCTATTAGTCATATTGATTTAATTATTTCAGTAATAGGATATGGAGAGATATTAAATTGAAGTGATCAACAGAAATGTGCTCTGTAGACAAAACATATACTGAAAATGTAGAACGTGCAAAATTTTGCACTCCGTTCTACTACAAATTGCATGTTTGACACTTCAAGTTTGGGGCACAGTTGTACATGATATCATATAGTACAGATCTAAATAATTATTACTGCATGTCATAGTTCATCCTTTGTTTTAATGGACAGCACTTGCATTCAACAAAACTATAAATTAATGCAGGTTTGTACCATTATTATATCACATTCAAACTGTCATAAGAAGTACGAAGTAACCGTATAAATGATTTCAAGTCAGAATCATTATTACCATAGTCTTTTGATGATGGCATATGAATCCTGGCTTGTTTGGATGCAGTTGGCAAAGAGGTTCAGATATGAGATATCCTTCTTGTTCATAGAAAGGAGGCATAAGAGGAATGAACAAGATGCCACCAGAATGCAACCAGTATGTTAGGAGAATCCAGAAATTCTGGTTTGCAGTTTATGTGTAAACACTGCTCTTGTGTTCAAAACAGACTTATGATACAATAGACACTTGCCTGCAACATCACATACATTGCTTTTTTGTTTCTAGCTGTTAGCTATAGGGTAGATATTTGCAGTATTTCTAATAGTGTTTTATTCTGGGATTCAAAAAAAGGAAGGAGGAATGAAACAAATTGAGTGGCAAGTCTGTATGAGACCCACATGGTTCACAAAGTTTTATAGAATATAAAGAGTTTAATAAGCTTGTTGAATCAGCACAAAAAGAGGGAGGCACACTAATCCCATTACCTTCCATCCCCAGTTTTTCACTTTCCTTACGCATAGAGAGTGACAAATCTGAATAGTGGTTTCCACTATCTTCACAAAATTGGGAACCTAGAAGGTGGAGGGAGGGGTTGACGTGCCCCCTTTTGCTTAACTAAAAGCCTGAGCAGGGCTAAATGCCACGGTTTGATCATTCTTCACAGTGCAGTCCTGTCATTTTCTGCTGATAGTGCTCATTGTGGTTGTGATTTGTTTATTTGCAAAATAAGGCAGGGATTTTGTGCTGAGTCCAGAGAACTCCAAGCAATCACACTTAAATAATAGCCTCATGTTATGCTGGTCTATGCTGATTGTTTACAACAAATGTCTGAAGAACACAGAATTTATTTCTTAAACCATTTGGTCATGGAAAGAAATAGGTTTGAAAAGAGTAAATCATAGATCTGTATAACTTTTGCAAAATGTCAGGACAGCTGTTAAATTCTGAGCTCAGCTATACTGGTTGTTATTGTGAGACCAGTCTGGAGCAGAAATGCTCAGAACTTGCCTCCGTCACACGCTCTGTTCCTATCCAAAGAGGCAATGGGGCAGAAGCTAGATGGTCCAGTTCGGCCTGGCTGGGCCATTGAATTCCCGTCTCTGTTGGCATCATGCTGTAAATGGCCAAGGAGCTCCAGAAGTTTCTGGCAGTCACTGGTACCCCATGGGGACATCAGCAGAGACACTACTGTGACCAGGAGGACATGGGCCTAATCTGTCCCCCTTTCTCTCCTCTCATCAGGGCAGGGAAAAGGGTATTGTTGTGAATGGCCTCTATGAGAAGCGGATTAGTCCACATTGGACCTGGTGGAATTGTCCACATTGTGTCCAAACTGTGAGGATGCTCTGGTGTGTCGCCAAATTCTGGAGCATGCTCCACCTTCCCTTGGTGCATGGCTAAATAGTTTAACCCAGTTTTCACTCAATGCAGGTTATTAAGCCTGTGTAAATGAGCCATTGGTCAACTACATACTTGTTTCTTCCATTCTTGGAGAGGCAAAAGATGTTTGGAGACCAATTGAGGGGAAGATAACTTCTGAGGGAGAAGAAGGAAAGAAGCAAGGGAATAGCTGATCAAAGGAAAATTCTCCAAGCCACTTTGACAAATGTGTGCACATCCATGTTTTGGCAAGCAGAAAGAAACTACTATATACATCCATGACATGGATAAAAATAAAAACAGCTATTGAGAAGAAGAGGGCTAAAATAGGATTTAGTGATGATCCGAGTTCTAAAATCTCCAAAATGTTACAAATCCACAATAGACCAAGGATGTATTCATAAATGTCTGTGCATATGCATGTGTTTTAATGTAATTTAATCCTGTGTTAAGAATAAATGTTGCTGAACATGATAAATTGGGCATAAATATGAAATAAGAAAGACATGCTAAAATCAATGTGATGCATATTAAATATTCCTAATGTTCATCCGGTGGCTTTCTTTTTAAAGGT